CACACACACACACACACACACACACACACACACACACACACACACACGCATGCATGTGTGAAACAGGCAAAAATAGTCACACAGTGAGTTTGGGACTCGGCATGAAGAATCCAGAAACGTCTTCTGTGGAAAATGGAGCTTGAAACTGAGCCTTAAAAAAACCAGGCCAAAGGGAGTCCACGCCCAGGCATGATGGGGCAGCCAGTGTATAGACGCACAGAGAGGACAGTCAGTGGCATGTATACAAAGGAGAGTAATGAGTAATAAAGCTAGAAAGGAAGGTTGGGGCCAGGCTGACTTAAGTTCTTGAACTGAAGACCTCCAATTAGAGGACAACAGATTACCTACCTTTTACAACTAGTAGGAATTTACATTTGAACATAAGGATACATACTCAATGGTTTACATTACAAAATTTTACATACAATTACTTAATTTTCAAGTTATAAATATAAATTATTAAATATCAAAATCAAAACTGTTAAACACTACAGGGAATACTATCTACAACTTTTTTCAAGTTCTTTGTACCAGCAATCACTAATAACTTTTACCCCACAGCTCCCAAGCAATTATGGAGTCTTGAGGATTACAATCATTTTTTAAATATATTTTATTTGGGTTTTAATCAGTCAAAATCTGCTTTCTCACCCTCCTATTCCAGCCCACCCTCCCCCACTGACAGTGCAAACAAAGCAAAACCTACAAAATATGTCTAGTCAATTAAAACAACTTTCCACACCGGCAACGTCAAAAAAGAATGTCTTTCACTTAGCATTCTGAGCCCTTCGTCTCTCTGTCCGGAAGTGGGCATCATATGTTATCACTAGAAGGACTATAATCCTTGGGGAAGGAAGTTATCTAAAGCTTTTACAGGGAGACAGTTCAGTAGGAGAGAACAATTCTGCCACCCACTTTGAGAGCACAAAGCCACATGGAGTCTCTCTAAGGAGGCTAGGGAGCTGAGACAAAAATCTGCACATCCTAGAGAAAGACCAAAGGAATAACTAAGAAGCCTGGCCTGAGGCACAGTGCATGCCCAATGAAAACTTCTTTCTGCCCACCCCAGCTCCGGACTTTGAAAATGCTCTGCCAGGAGCTCACTTTCTCCAGGCAGCATGGATTTCCAAGACACCACTGATTATCGGGATGACATGATATACAGCCACCCCTTGGAGTCATTCAACTTCATAGCACATCATTTTTTTAAAAGGTTTCCTAGGTAACTTTAAAAGGTTAAATAACCTCCACTTGAAAGGAGTATTAGAAAGCTGATTAAACAACCAATAAAGAAGCATTTATTAAGCGCTTATTGTATGCCATACACTATTCTCAAGCTTAGTCTGTCACCTAAGCTCCTAGGGATAGGAAGTGTATTATTTAAAAATAAAGTTTACCCCTACCTGTACTTGAGGGCCTTGACTGGAATCTGCAGGAGACTCCCCCCTTCAAAGGGAAGGTGCACGGTGTCACTGTCATCAGCGTGAAGCAGCCGTTCAGCCTCCTAGGTGAAGCAAATTAAATCGTTTTTCTCTCTACCTTTACCTTCTTCCGTCCCCATCCCCCCCGAAAACTATTAAAGATTAAGACACTGGATTAATGTTCATTTCAAAGGGAAATTTACTACATGTAACAGATTAATTAGAAATTAAAACTGCCAAACTATGCAAACAAAATATTAATATAGTTGCGACTGAAATACTTATTTCAACAAGAGCTTCATGAAAAGTGTCAAACACATGGACCACATGCAGCTCAAAACATTCCCAAGTGAAGCGTGAATGTTTAAAATGCACTTGGAAAATATTTGACAAAATTTTAAAAATACAATAAAATATAAATAATGTTACTATGTGGTTTTCTAAGTCAGTATGCTGATGGGAGGGATTCTTATGTATGCTTTAGTGGTCCCTGTTTCTAGTTGAGTTTCATACCACCAATCTACATTAATATCTGTAGCATACAGTAAAAAAATTCCTTTTGAAAAATATGTATTTTGTAAGTTAACCTTTTCTTCTACTAAGAAATAAATAAAAATATCAACTTTTATGAAATAAGTGTCATTTAATTATGCTTATATCCTAACAAAATTGCCATTTTCAAGGCTCTTTGTCATCATTTTTGATATAAAATATATTTTTGCAAATAAAATGGAGAGGTTGAGATGGTTCTTTAAAAATGGATTTTCATCATGTAAGAAACAAATAGAAAACGCCTAATTTTTTAAAAATTATCTTATTACAGAAAAGGCTGATCAGCAGAATTCAAACGTGTGGGGGTGTGTGTGTGTGTGTGTGTGTGTGTGTGTGAGAGAGAGAGAGAGAGAGAGAGAGAGAGAGAGAGAGAGAGAGAGAGAAAGAAAGAGAGACACCCTGATGAATCTAATAAAAATAAGATACCACTACTAGGGAAAACTAGCTTAAATTATGACACAGACACCAATGTATGGTGACTTTCAGAAGAAAATAATAATCTTAACTTTCAAAAATTCCATTATAATTAGATATTTGTGAATATTACGGAAGAGTAAACATACAATTTGTAAAGTTTCACGTCAGTTGCAGAGATATCAGCATTAATAATAATTAATTAGTTTCAGTTTCCTATGATCAGCAAATGTGGTATTATACTGCCACAATTTTAAATTATCTGGTACGCTTTTTAAATTATAATCTTGAACTGATCAGATAATTGAAAATAATGAAAAAAGAGTAAGAACTTAGTTTCTAAAAATGTACCATTCAACTACAATACTAAGTATGAAAATTAGGCTTTACACCTTTTAAAAAGTTGAATTCCATGACATAAAAATATGTATGTATGGTCCATTTTTCTGTATTCATCATCAAAATGTGCTTGAAATTTAACACTTAAACTGTAGGTATCTTTTCATCAATGACTCAAAATAAAGCTACAGATTTCTCTAGAATGTGTTGTTCCTGAATACAAAGTTCCTCAAATAGCTGCACAATGGCCAGCCGAGACTCAGCTCAGGCCAGTCCTTCTGGCAGAAGATCATGGAGAGAGTTGAGCTGCCTGGAAACTGCACCCACTCTGGCCAGCTGGAAAAATCACCGAGCTGTGCCTTGACAGTTTCCCAAAAGATTTTAGGGTTTTAAACCCTTGATAGTTTTACACACCTCCTTTTCCTTCTTCTGTTTGTCATCTTCTTTCTTTTTCTTACTTTCTGGCATGAGATCATCAAGCCAGCTCAGTTCTCGTTTGGTAAAACACAAATCCATTAGTTTGCGTATAAACACCAATGCAAGAACCTTAAAAAAAAAAAAAAAAAAACACAGGCCTTAAACCTCTTTTGAAAAGTCCACAAACTGTTCCAAATACGAAAAAAAAAAAAAATTAAGTAACCAAAAACAAGGTTAAACAAGACCTATGAAATAAAAAAACTAACTCAGAAAATAATATTTTTTAGCCTTCACAAACAAAAAGTATACAGTTATAAAAAACACAATTCTTAACTATCTGTTTGGAATAAATTCATTAGCCTGTGCAAGTACTTCATTAATAAGCATGCCATATCAAATGGAAACGTATTAAATTTAGGATAACCATAGATAATATTAAAAATTACTCCCTTCTCCTCTCTACTGTACTACTGTCAGGGTCCAGATCTCCATTTCTTTATTTTTTTAATGGTACATGCATTTAAAGAACTTTTTTCACTCTGCACAGGAGAGTGCAACATTAACACTATAGGCAGAAATATTAAATATGGATATTTATTTCTGAAACAGCTCGATCCCACAAACTTCAAATGACTTTTCCTATCTTCAAAGGCCATGCTGCTCATAAGCAATGGAAAAAGCACTGAACTTGGAGGCACTGGACCTGGGTTCAAATCCTGGCTCTGCCACAGACTACCCATGTGACAAAACCTTGTCAAAAAGTCACACCCCTTATTTAGGCTTCAGTGTCCTCTTCTATAAAGTAAGGAAATTAAATGTAATTGTCTCTAAGATTTCTTCTCACTAATAATCTATGGGTACTATGGGTAAGTTATAAGAGTTACTTTATTAGCAGCATCACAGTTATTTTTAATCATTGTAATATTAGTCAATAAGCGTTTTTAAGCTACTACTATATGCCAAGCACTACACTAAGCACTGGGTATACAAAGAAATGCAAAAATAGTCCCCCTGTATTCAAGGAGCTCCCAATCTAATGGGAGAAACAACAAGCAAATATGTACAACTAAGCTATACACAGGATAAAAAGAAAATGAGAGGGAAGGCACTGGAATTCAGATGAGATGGACAAGACTTCCAGTAACAGTTGGGATTTGAACTGAGGAAGGTGAACAGGTACAGCGGAGGAGGGAGAACATTCCAGGTATAAGAGACAGCCAGACAGAACGTCCAGAGCAAAGAGACGGAGGGTCTTGTTCATGCAAAAAGCCAGGCCCGGGTCACTGGATCAAAGAGTACAAGACAGTGAGTAAAGTGTAAGAAAACCAGAAAGGGAGGGAGGGGCTAGATTACAAAGGACTTTGAATGCCAAACAGGGCATTTTGTATTTGCTCCTGGAGGCAACAGAGAGCTACTGGAGTTTACTGAGTAGTAGAAGATGACATGGTCAGACCTGAACTTTAGGAAAATCACTTTACAGGCTGAATGGAGAAGAGACTGGAGTAGGAAGAAAGGTGAGGCAGGCAGACCCACAGGAGGCTACTGCAATAACCCAGACATAAGGTGACAAGGGCCTGCACCAAGGTGGTGTCAATGTCAGAGGAGAAAAGGGGGCCTATTTGAGAGAGATGCTACAGAGGTAGCATCTACAGGCCTGGAAACAGCTACGATAAGGGAGGGGAAGGGAGAGATAGTGGGGAGTCCAGAATGACTCCTACCCTGTGAGCCTAAGGGCCTAGGAGGATGGCATTGCCCTCTCCAGTAAATGCAAAGGTAGACTGGCATAACTGCTGAGATATCATTAGCCTCTGCTTCATCTTAATCAGGAACGGCTAAAGTGACTCAACAGGATGGGATGATGGGATGGAGAGTTGTGTGGTCCAACTCCCCAAAGCTACAGTTCTCAGACACACTCAAGACTGATCTGTGACTTCTTTAGAGAAGAGGAGGTCAATCCCAACACTGTGAGTCACCCCCCATCCATGCCTATTTATCCTCTGGGGCTCTCGTCCATGATGTCCCCTAAGTTCACCATAGATGATCCACTCAACCTGTCATGAGACTTCCTTGAGTCCGCCTACCATCTTGACGATTCCAAGAGAGCAGACTGAATACGCATCACTTTTCCCTTTCTCTTGTCATACTGTTGCCCATTTTCTACAGCCAGAAATTTCTTTGATGATACCCTTAATCTTGATTCTCCTTCATAATTTCTTGCTAGTTATAATTTTCAACTTGGTCACACTCACCATGTGCTTATCAGCCTTCTGAGAGATCCTCAATTTCAAGTCTTTGGAGACTACAGTGTTCTAAGACTCACAGACGTACAATATTACTGGAATAACAGAAGTATCGTAAGGACGAGCTTTTATCCCAGCAAGTAACTTAAGGTTAGTAAAAGAACTCTGCAAGTTCCCACAGATAATCCAGGAGGCTTTCTCCTGTTTAAGTCTGGCCCTCATTTGCTGTTCATTTGCAGTAGCTTTCCAAGATGCAAACACTAACAAAAGAGCTTTACAGAGTGTCTAGCCAGTCAGTTTTTCCTATACACATAGGCTTAACATTCGAGTGATTACGGATCTCATTCAGGAGGCCCCACAAGGTTCCTCGGCTTGATGAGATGTCACCTGCACGCAAGAGCACGTGGAAGACCAGGAGCATCCTCTCCAGGGAATCCCTCTTTGCCTTGGTTTCTCCATAAGAAAGTCCAAGAGTTCATCTGTCCATGAGAGCAGTGAACACCAAGGCCAAGTACCTTTGGTGACATATTTTAATTACCTCATTTATTCACACCTTTGCACTGAAGTCACCAAAGATCAAAGTACATACTGATTTAATGTGGAGTTTTATCTAGGTAACCCTAGATTTTCTCAATTTCTTCATGTTCTGTAACAAAGTGTGACTTAAAAGCAGCTATAATTATTTTCATGATAGTCCTTTTTTTAAAAAGTCTTAGAAAACACCCTCAAAAATCTAGAATAAAAAATTACTACTTTAGAAGAAACAAAAATCAAAAACTGATAACTACCTATTTCCAAATCACCCAAATAAATTACTTAATGATTCTTTCCTCAAATATGCACATAAAATGATCACTGTCAAAAGCCATATGATCACTTGACATACTGGTTTTAAAAAGGTCAGGAGGGAAAAGATTCATTTTACCATCATGGGGAAAACAACTGCAGCAGCTGAAGCTTTGATCACCCACAAGAGAACCAAACAGGTGAGCTGAATGACTGTAAAGATGTGGACCTTCCACAGTGGCACATAACGCAGATAGATTAGATCTGGCTGATGTTTAGCGGGCATTCCAAATAATTTGATGCGGTCAAAAAACTAAGAACAAAAAATAAAAGTAAAAAACATTAAACCAAATTTCAGTCCATGCTCTTTTTTTAAAAGTTTACTTTGACATTTTAAAGCTGTAGCATATTAGGGACAGGATCTGTAACTTCTCCATAACCTCTAATATTAGAGTTGTTCCATTTACTAAAAAGTTCAATGCTCAGTTACATACCCAGTGCATGTCAGCAGTAGGATTTGAACCCAAGTTGTCTTCCTGGATTTGAAGCCAGCTCTCTTTCATATTGACAAGCAACAGTTTTAAGCTAAAATTTCACTACGTTTTCCACAGTACGCAAAAGTAGGATAGATGCAAGTTAGCATCTAGGTTCTGATAAGTTTTGTGAATAATGAATCTCATGTAATGTGGTGTGTTATTTGAATTCCCACTTAATGTTTCCATTGGACAAAAAAAAAAATTACATTTTATGTCCTCATAAACCTGAAAAGTACAGATTCAAATACAGGAGAACAACTTCAGGGATTCATTATTTGCACTAATTGGGATCTAGCTATATTTCAGCAAAGTACTTTTAAATCTATGTGACACAAAGTAAGGGAGATAATTTGAAATTATTTAATTTATTGAAATAAACATGGTCCACTGAACCAAAAAATATACCACGCTATTGCTACCTACCCTTTGTCCACTTTAGTGGACGCAATATTTAAAAGATGTTCATGAAAATACAAGTCATTTAACCCTCCCAATTTCCAATTTCTCTTCATAAAAGAGCAAAATCATACTAAAAGAACTCTACAATCCCTTCTCGCTATAAACTTTTGTTCCATGAAATCAATCAGCTAATATGTATGACCTAAAAGGCTAAAAGAAGGGCCCAGAATAGAGGTCAAAAATCAAAAAATCATCCAGAGGTAATTTCAAGCTAAAAACAGCTCCTTCAAAAATGGAATTAATGCAAATATCAGCATCTAAATAAGCACAAATATATCCTCAGTTTTGTTTTAAAAGTAAACTAAAACAGCTGATCAATACTTTCCCAAATTTAATCAACAACTTTCATATATGAAAACTGTAAAGTATAGCTATTTGTAAAATAGTGAATGACAAGAATACCTAATAATCTGAATGTTCATTTCATAAATAAAAGATTCCTTAAAAACTCAGATAAATGAAAGCTATAAGTAACTCAATTCCATCATCACAAATCTCCAGATTAAAAGGAGGCACCAAATGTCTAACTTTCCTCCTAACCTCCAGACCATAATGGCAGCTCTACTCCTCCCCTAGTCTCCCCCCGCCCCAATTTGATTTTAGAATGCCTCTCCACCTCCTCAGCACCAACTCTGTTAAAATGGAAAGAGTCCTAGACTTTGAGCGAGGACAATCCTGGGTCTGACTCCCGTCTCTGACATTTAGTAGCTCGGTGACTCCTGGAAAGTCACTCAACCTTCTGGATCCTCCAAGGCCTCATCTATAAAATGCGGGCGAATATAAACATGCTATCTATTTACAAGTTGTTGTGGGGAATCAGATTAAAGGATTCAAGTACAATGCTTTGTAAACTTTAAAGTCCTGCATAGATATTACTTTCACTAGCTGTACTCTAAGGGAGAGGTTAGGTCTTGATGCCTGGGAAAATAAGTTTTAATATAGCAATAACATTGGCTTTTCAAGGTATTAACATAAGGAAAAACAGACTTGCCCAAAGGGACACAGAATCACTACCACTTTAAAGTCAATCTTTTAAAATAAAAAATAACACAATAAAAAAATTTTCAACTTTGAACTTGCCTGAATGCCTTTTAATGAAGAAACTCCCATATAAAGAAAAACACCATAGAGAACTGGCATTGGAATAAACTGTAAGTCAAAAGATCACAATCAGAATTCACACATGGAAACGGCAAAAAGTAACAGCTAAGAACAAAGTGATACAGTCACTGGATCTCAATACACAAAAGAATAAGGTAAATAATCCTAGGCAAAAGACCAGGAGACCTCATGGTGATTCCAAATATACTGTGTAAGAGAAGCAAATTTTAACAATGAATTGACTCAGAAAATCTGAATCCTTAAGTAGTTTAAGTTCCCTAACCGATACTGATAATGAAAGGTGACTTATGGACATCCTTTGCATTAAGCTATCACACTTGTGATGATCAGGCTTAAGGGTATGTATGTGTGGCTTAGTGAAAATAATACCAGCCTCAGAACCAGCATGCTTCGGTTTTGGTCTTGGCTATGTAACCTTAGTAAGTTATTTAACTTTGCTGAGAGACTCAGTATGTTCAGCTATACAATAAGGCGACTGAAAAAGAATGATCTCTTTAGTCCCATCCAGTGATAAATCCTAAGGTCATATAATTAAATACAGGATATGACAAAAACATATTCTTTCTATAAAAACGATCAACCATATAATCAATTGTAATAGGGAGACAACCTACAAAAGCAAATTAAAAATTATCATGTCATTTTGTATTTGGTGATAAACATGGCAATTAGTGTATTTTTTCTCAACTCCCAATTATAGTCAATATTAAAATGTTAGATGAATTTAATACCTAAAACATTCTCACAATAAATATATTAAATGTATTTTAGGAATTATTATATAATATTATAATAAAATTATATGTGCCTTAGGAAGTTACATAATCTTATTTTTATGGTTTCTCTACAATGGGAGGAGGAAGTGTATGATTGAGGTGGGGGAAAGTAGAAGTGGGAGAGAAGGTTAAAAATGCAGATTTCTGCAGCATGAGATTTAATACTCAAAAAAGTTAAAAACTTTGGCATTTAAGATAGAAGTGGTATTCTTTGATATTAAAACCTGTACATTATTCAAGAGTGGTAGATGAATTTAGGAGAGGCTTCAATTTGCTTAAGAGCAGCTATGTGTGTTTATTCATGCACTTAGCCAGAACTTCCTAAGTTAAGGCCCAGTGCTCTATCTGCTTTGCCATTTGGCTGCCTCAGTTATCCCAAGATGTGGACCTACATAACAAGGAGAACGGGGCCCGTGACATCCACTATGGGTTGTCCAAGAAGCAACCAAAGATGAGTGACAGTAGCTCAGAGAGATTAGTACTGGAAATCTAGATCTGGCACTCATCTGCATAGAGAGCATTACTGAAACCATGGGGGGTTATGAGACCACCAAATGAGAAACCATAGGGAGAAAAGAGGAGACATCAAGAACCAGTCATACAAATGGGAGGAAGACCATAAGCAAACAGGTTTCTAGGAGAAAACCTAGAGGAATAGCTGTCCACAAGGCAAATGACAAGCCTAAGAGAAGTGAAGGAGGGCCAGCTGAGAAAAAGGTCACTAAATTTGGCAATGAAGAGAATACTGGTAACTTTGGTGAGAGAAGTTTCATTTGAATTATGAGGCCAGATTACAGATGAGTTAAAGAACAGGAAGTGGGCAACTTTCTCAGAGTTTAACAGAGGAGATGAAGAGTCAAAATCCAGCAGGAATAGTCAGATCAAAAAGGGGTTTTTTTTTTTTAGAGATGACAGAGACATAACCATGTTTGTGGGCAACAAGGAAGGAGCCAGTAGAATGAGAATGAAGATAAGGGAGAAACAGTAGGGATGATAAGGCAGGCAACTTTCTAGAGAAACTGTGAGGCTGTGGAATGTTGACATATCCTTAGCTTTTTGCTACTGGCATCAATAAATACATACATTTTGTTAGATAACTGTATAATGATTTAAGACTAAACCAAGCTTCACATCAGAATTGTTTTCCTATACAGTCTCCTTAATAACCTAAAGTTGTCCTATTTTATGATTTCTAATTATCCTTCATGACATCTTTTTATCATACTTTTATTTTTTTACTTAGTACTAGGGTGGGTGATTTCGTTCTCCATTATTATATAATTTTTTACATAACCAAATTTGATTAAGCGCTGCCTATTTTACACAATATTGTCAATATTTTTATAAAGTTCTCTGTGTTTCATGGGTAGGTCTTCAATGAGTGAATTACAGGAGGACAGAGACAAAAGTCTCACTGGATAAGGTGCAGAGATGGTTGCGATGTGAACCACTAGAGAGTTTAATTCATGCCAATGAGATCATGGATACACAGAATTACTTAAAGCATCTTTAGGTGGATTCTCTTCTACCTTCAGGAAAGCATACAAAGAAAATTATACAACAGTTTTTAAGATCATATTCTAAATTTAATATGGAAACTGCTATCCATTAAATGTCATCTTTGAAAACTCTATACCATTTCAAATTTAATAACTCCCACTAAAATCCTTTGAACTTAGTGAATTTAATAATCTCAAGCTTATTTTAATTGGGCAATTTTTACACTACTAAACATGAGCGTCAACCTTAAAATACTGTTCTCAAGACAATTTGATGAAAAATTATCTTACCTTTAATATAGAAGTCATGAACACAGACAGGCCCATCAGAACAAAAATTAGTAAGCCCGTTACTCGTTGCTCCCGGATTCCCAAAAACTTAGGCTGTTCACCTGGAGCAGAACATTCAGATTCAACTTTTAAGCTGTTTACGTGACTTATGGACAGAACTGTCGCAGCCACAAACCATGGTAGACCCATAACTGAGCAAACGCCCAACATCACACCAACCATGAGCAAATCCAGATGATAGCCAGCTCCTTTCTGTAAAGTCAAGCAAAGGTTTCTCATATTCTCAAGTGCCCACTCAGTTTAGGAAAATATTTTCAGTAACAAATCAAGCAACTTATTTTTATGCCAGAGTCATGATGAAAATACTAACAAAATAACTCATATCTGAATTACTGAAGTAGAAAGAAAATTAAAATTACCTTCAACTTATGTTCCTTTCGATTTATGATGACTGCTGTGATTTGCTGATCCATGAAAATGAGGATAGTACAAAGCAGTGCTGGAATAGCAGCTATTAATAATGTCCACCATGGGTTATCGCCCAGTGGGCTGATGAGCCAACCCCTCTCTTTATGAGTAGGCTAGGGAGGGAAAAACATTTAAGTAATAAAAGTTAAAAAGAAAAAAAAGGAGAAGTTTATAGGTCTCCTTCCTCTAATCCATGGAAGCTACAGAAGTACTTCCATGTTTCACTAATGTTTGTTGAAAGAAAAGGCTAGAAGAACTATGTTGAAACCCTCATGGAAAACTGGAGTTTTCTATGACATCTGAGCATAAGGCACTGTATGAAAGGGCTACAGGTTAGAACAGATAGCACTGTAATGGGCCTAAACTAGCACACCAAATTATCTAAATGTCAGGATAGATACAAGAAAAGGCACTAAATTTAAAGTATGAATCCCAGCTCTCTGCTATTCATGCCTATATGACCTTGGGCATATCATTCAACAGATGGAAGTTTACTTCCTCATGTGTTAAAAAATGAAGGGATGCAATACTGATCTCTGAGGGCCCCTCGATAACTCTAGGTCCAATGATCCTTGACCCTCTATCTCTGGGATGAGGAACCTGTGGCCTCGAGGCCTTCTAGGTCCTTGGGTGCAGCCTTTTGAGTGAGTCCAAGTTTTACAGACCTAATCCTTTTATTAAGGGGATTTGTTTTGTGAAGTTTGGATTCAGTCAAAGGGCTGCACAAGTGGCCTTGATGCCACGGGTTCCCCATCCCTATCTCCTCTTTCTTACATATTGCAATATGATTTATTTAAAGCAATGATTTTTAACAGTAACTGCGTGTTCAGAGGAGCTCTGTGCTCTAGTTCTGCCATCAAAGGATCCTAAGGTAAAGTATACACACATCTATCTACATATGCTTTAATTTCCTAATAGTTTTTATGGAAATCAATTTTCCTCCATGAAAATAGTGGTAATTACAAACTAGAAAGTAAATATTTTACTTATTTTCATGACTTCCAAATTCCTGAAATTTTCATGACCTCCAAAAAGATTTTCCTTACTAACCTAAACCCAATAATCAACATCACAATGTTGATGTGCTTGCAAACATTTTATACTTTACTGTCTATAAATTGCTTTTATTTTGGAGCTATTCTTTGTCTTATCGCTCTAAATATAATATAATCTCCTTGAGGTCAAACCCTCAAGGAAACACCCCAGTATCATAAAATCACAGAATGTTAGATCTAAATGGATGTTCAATACAATGCTTAGAAAATGCCCCAGGTTCTGTCCTTCAACACATTTGTCATTTAAAGTCTTTATGTTACTGTTTATTTATCAAGGCATTAGCAGACCCTTACAAGACTATAGCTCCTTAATGAAAGGGCTGTATCTAATCTAAACTTTCGCCGATGCTTTGCACATAACAAGTACTTAACTCAATATTTTTTAAATGCACTCTCTCATTTTACAGATTAAAAAAATTAAGTTAAATAGTGGTGTAGTCCATTGAAAAAAAACACTAGTTTTAAAGTCTAAGGACCAGAGATTAAGTCTTGGCTCTGTTTGCCCACCTGTATAGCCTTTGACAATTCACTTAAAGAGAGGTCCAGAGAAAATTATTTGTAAAACGAGGGTACTGGACCTGGGGTCCAGTGAGGACCTATGAGGTCCTTTCTTGTTCTAAATCCATGACCTTTACATTTATTTTTCTAAAGGTCATAGCTATTAACAACCACATGTATTCCAAGTATATTATTGATAATAATGGCTGACATTTATATAGATCTTTAAGGCTTAGAAAGCACTTTATACACATATATATGTATCTAATTTCATTTGATTTTCAAAACAACTCTAAGAAGTAAGTGCTATTATTATCCTCATTTTACAATGAGGAAACTAAAGCTGGGAGAGGTCACATGACTTGGCCAGCATCACCCTACTATTAAATGTCTTAGGCAGGATTCTAATTCAGGTTTTCCTGCCTCAAAGTCTGACACTCGATCTCCTATGCACCTTGGCTGCCATAAACCTAGCTGGCAAATAGTATTTTCTTACCATATGAATCAATGGATATCTATTTTAAGGCTTTTCTTTTTTTGGAGGGGAGGAGGGGGCTAGGTAAGTGACTTGCCCGGGGTCACAAAGCTAGTAAGTGTCAAGTGTCTGAGGCCAAATTTGAACTCGGGTCTTCCTGACACCAAAGCCAGTGCTCTATCCAATGTGCCACCTAACTGCCCTCTAAGGCGTTCTTTTTAAAGGTCATTTAGTATAATGCGCTGCCAATTAAACACATGGAAATGCTAAAAAGAAAAAAAAATTTAACTTAATTTCACATCAAATTAACATGTTTTATACAAACTAAGGAAATGTAACTTAAAATAAATTATTAAGATGTATCAGAATATTCCCACTGAATTTCTCTGAAGAGAGAAATAAGCACTTGGTGCTATAATACTGCCCACAAGAAACTGTGTGGAACAGAATCACTTCCCTGTTCTAATAAGACTGTTCTAATTTAACAGGCATCTTCCATCTGAAAGGGCAGACTTCAACTCCGTCCATGGGCCCCCTCAGCTTTCTGGTGGGAATTCCCTCACTGGGGCATGCACACACACACACAGACCTCACTTCCCTGTCCTAGAAGAACTTTGGCAATTCAGTCCCCATAGAAAATAACTAACATTTCACTAACTCCTTGTTCAATAAGCGATCTGTAAACGATCTTAACCATTCCACAAGCAAAGATGAAGAGTCTGCTCTGCTCAAGGCGCTAGGGGACCAACAAAAGAATTACACGCAGTCCTTGCTCTGCTGGAGCTAAAATTCAATTGATGGGCACAGTGTAGACAGCCTAAGTAAGTACTAGGACTGGACCTTCTGAGTAGAAAAGGTTGAGACGCCTGGTCAATAGGAAGAGTCACAAAAGGCTGAGCAAGCAGAGAGACATGAGAGGTGCAGAGACAGCAGAAGAGGAAGGACAGGTAGCAGGCACACCGCCCGCTGCCAGGCATGTTCCTGGGTACTCTTCCACCCATGTCGCCCCCTCTGTGCCCTATTCGCTGGTCCCTTCACCCCTTACTCTCTTTTCTTCCCTTTTTTTCTAATACCCCCACAGGCCCTCCTGTCCCTTTAGAAATACACTGTGTTTTAAAGCTCCAAGAATAACAAGAAAGGCCACGGTCCCTCTTGTGGCTTTTACACTGCTCATCAATAGCTATTTATATAAGGACAAATCCTCACACATTTGTGTGCATGACCTTTACCTCAAATTTTTCAGGAACGTGAAGTTTAGGAGAAGGAACACCCACAAGGTAGTCAATGGCAACCATAGTTACTATTGTGAGAAACACAGCAAAATCACTGATGGTCGATCGGACCTAAAGTAAAGGCACCAAGTTAGTGTGTAAATGTAGTGGATACTATGCACTCTTCCCAAATAACTCACAGAAGTCACAAATCATGAAATGGGGGGGTGGTTTGAGTGATGAAAATGTTTGTGAACTAAATCTGTATTTAATTCCCCAAAGAGTAGATATCTAACTCTGTATGTGAATAAAATAGCTTTTCTCACAGATTCTTCTCCTAAGTAAACTCAGAAATGGCCACATACCACGTACACTCGCTATGAAACACAACATTCCTGGGCCTCTTTTAATCTGACACAAAAATGATTAACCTCAATGCAAGACTAGTTTTAATTTAAATATAAATTATTAATTTTTTAAAAAAATCAACATATATTAAACCTCTGAAGTTGTATTCAATTACCTTGGTAGGAAAATAACGCTTGGTCTTAAATTGCTTCAGGAATGATGACAGAAAAAACGTTGTGAAGAATAAGATAACACACCAGAAGAGCACATCAGGAATATAGGGCCCGTGAAGACCACAGGCTGGGCCCAGGAAGACACCATGAAATTGTTTACATTCCTGGAAAAAAAGGGAAGAAATTCTGGCTCTTTTAAAGTCAACTGAAGTCATTATTTGCTCCTGCCTTTTTCCAAACAGTGAAAGGATGACTAAATGACCCATCAAGCACAATCAGCTGGAGCTGAGATGGTTATTACAGAACCATTCTGCATAAATTTGCTTTTTCACTAAAGGCAGGTTTTTCACCAGAGACAGGTATTCAAACGGAATAAAAAAGACAGGTCAAGCCTTAGTTGGCAGGAAGAGGGATGACAAGGAGACATTCCAGAAAGATGTCTTCCAACAGCAGCACTCTCATTAGAGGGCAACTGCTGGCCAGATCACCATTTCTTCTTTCTGCCTGACCACGACCCACGAGAGAATGTGAGCAAGTGAAGAACAATAAAGCAGAGGATTCTGAGCCGCTCAGAAAGGCCAACTACAGAAGGAGTCTCTTATGAATTCTACCCATCTAAAGAGAGAATGGGCTGGCTGGGTTTGTGAAGAAATGATGGCAGAAAGAGATGAGAGCCAAGCAGAAGGTACTGATTCAGCTTCTTCATGTCTCTCATCTGCTGCTCAGGAGAGCAAGCCTACCCTCACTAAGTAGAAATGGTGAGTTGGTATTACTCATTGCTCATTGTCATTCTCTATCAGCTCATGTAAACAGACTTAATTCAATTAAACTCCATTACCTAGTTTTTCATAAGCCAAATATGGCTGTTCTAAAACACTTTGAACTGCTTTCAGTATCAGTAAAGTTGCCCCAACATTAGTAAGAAAGATGTCTGGTATACCTTGCCAGCAAAATTTCTTCCAAAAGTGAATTGCATTGGCTGAAACATTTTTTAAAAGACAATACTAACTCTACTACATTAAAAACTGGCTTTAAAAAATGAAATGTAATTTTAAAAGTAATCATGTCAATAAATAATTAAGGACCAATGCTTCATTCCAATGTAGATGAAATGGACTGCATTTGCCTATACTAGACCACCTGCGTTCTGCCCAAGTTGTATCATAATCCTTTTAATGTCTGTTGTCTCATCCTCCTCTGAGGGACTTTTGACAAAGGCTGATCTCAAGCAAGGATAATGCTCTGGAAAGAACTCACTCCTATGACTATGAGTTTCTATAGCAGGACCTACACCAGAAAAGCCAGAACAGCCTAGAAGAGATGAGAGCTGTGGTGTTCATCCCTGGGAATCTACCCAGTACACATCAGGAAAACAAGTTCCCTAACAAGAGAAGTCCATCAACAAAAAGTAAGCAATGACAGGTGGGGGCTACTGTCATGGTCAAATCCAGTGGAAGCAGATATTTTGGTTAAAAGACAATTTTAATCATTATTACATTCTACTTTTGTGGTGCTTTATAGTTTACAAACTGCTTTCTACACAATATCCCTATGATATAAGTTGTGCAAGTATTATTATCCTGATTTTATACAGGAGGAAACTGAGTCTTAAGGAAAGGTTAAGTGACTTGTCCCAAGTCAAAGGCTGGAACTTGAGCCCAGACCCAAATAGAGAACAGTAAGACAGTCCTCTTTCCACTGCTCTTCAGCCATTCTCTGAGATGTTCAGTCAGCTGAGCTAGAAAGTGAGACCATTCTTTTCGTTGGTAATATTTTAATAAGCCATCTGCCTGAGGCTCATCTCTTGTTACAGCTTTTCCCACCTTTTTACATAAGTGTATAATAACAGGATGATAAATAAGAGAATGAGCCACAGCAGGCTCAGAATCCATTCTAAATCTTATGGCTATGTCTTGAAAGTTTCCTAAAACCATTTCCATACAAATTGGAAAAGCAAATGGAGGTTAATGAGAATAAGCTGTCATGAAGTCAAAACTAACTTGCAAAATGAATAGTATTTTTCAAGGTACTCACTTCAACAGTGAGGTTGCCCCATGAAATCGTCTGTGATGACTGATTCATCGCGATCCATTTCTCGAGCGTTTCATTGCTAGGATTTGGAGGCTCAGTACATAAGCATCTAAGAAACCATTAAAGGAAATGCTTTCGGTTGATGTGTTTAATTTTGAAATTTAATTAAACTAAGAATGCAACATGGTAATTTTCAACATCTTAATATTTTTACCATATAGAAAACTGAGGGTAAAATATATCTTATACTACTATTAAAGGATAACAGAGAACACAGTCTTCATTACATATAATTTAACATAACAAATATCTCCTCAAAAATATATACTTAATAGAGAAAGGATAATTAAGAAAGCCTTTAAAGAGGATTATTTTCTAAAAAGAATACAGAAGATACTGAGACCTAAAGCAGCCTATCTACAAATGCAGCCCAACTATAGAATAAATAAATGCAAAGACGGCCACAGGAGTTAGTGTCAGGAGGAGAGACTGCACCTTAAGGGAAGGGGGGAGGTCAGAAGGGAATGAGTGCCAAGCGCGCAGAATGGTGGCGAGTCCAAAGGCAGGGGAGGGGAGGGCAGGGGAGGGGGCTCAGGGATAAGGGAGGGGACGATCTGAATTTCACCCAGTGGAGCAGGGGAGTGATGCCCAAGAGAGCTGAAAAGATACGTGGAGTTGGATGTGGCTCTAAAAACTAAACAAAGGGATTTTATTTGATCCTAGGGGCAGCAGGGAGACCGTGGAGTTGGCGGAGAAGGAGTGAAAGACTGAACTTAAAGGAAAATTACTTGGACAGTAAGTGTCTGGAGGTGGGGAAAAGACCTGAAGCAGGAAGAACAATGAGGACACTACCGCAATTACATGAGAGGGAAAAGGGGACCTTAACTAAGTGGAGAGGAGTCAGATGCAAGAGATGCTATAGAATGAGAAAAGAAAATCTGGCAACTGATTGTGAATGAGAGAAAGTGAGCAGTCTAAGATAATGCTGAAGTTAAAAACCTGGAAGGCTGGTGTTGCCTTCAACAGAAACCAGGAAACCTGGAAGAGAAGAGGATTGAAGGAGAAAAGCAATGTTGAATTAAAGATGTCTCCAAGAGTTTCGGCCAAGATGGCTACCCGAATGGAGGCCGATCGCCCAATTACCACAAACCTAACTCCAGCAAAAACTTGAAATGTATATTACTGAAAAAACTTGCAAGTGACCACAATTTCTTCCACACTAGAACTGCACAAAAAGTCAGCCATAAGCCCAGGGACAAAAGGAAAGAGAACCACTACAAAGATTATGTGAGCACAGGCAAACATGGCTGCAGCTTCCCAGCATAATCAAAAGCACGTGTAACCTACAAGACTATGTATCTTGAGACTACTGTGGAGGTCCTAAAGTCCTAAGATGGGGGGATCCTGGGAACCTTGAGAGTGGCAGTGACCAGAGTGGCACCAAAGCACTCAGAACTGAGACAGCCCAAACTATAGGATTCCCAAGTTCCCAGCACTCTGCCCTGTGAAAGCATAAAAAGCAATAAAGATCCAGCATGACCAACCTCAAAGACCTAACCGAAAGAAAGGAAACAAAAGATAACAAAAACATGTACAGCTGGACACGGTCACTGTGCAGACTCATTTTCTCTGATCGTGCTTATTTGTTGTAAGGGAAAGGTATTTTGTTGGTGTTGCTGCTGCTGCCATCATTAAATAAGAAGAGGTTATGAGAAAAGATGACAGGCAGCAACAGGGCCACCAGAAAAGGAAATAACTGTACACATATGGGAACATAAAAAAGGCCAGAAGGAAGCACAGACAAGGAGAGATTTCAAGGGAGCACATGGAATCCTACTTCTTTAAAAGAAGATCAAGTAGATATAAAATGGAGACTCATGATTTCAAATATAATTCTCTTATTTAGATTCTGTTGTGGGTAAGGAACTGCTTTCTTTTTTGGCATTTAAAATCCATATAAAATAAACGATAACATTTTAAATTTTAAAATGGGGGAGGGGGCCAGGAGAGAATGTCATCAGGACATCTACTTTGCAATGTCAAGTAGACAAATGGTAATACAGGACTAAAGCTCAGGAAACATATTGAGACTAGATATATATGTCTGGGAGTCCTCTGCACAGAGATGGTAATTAAACCCATGGGAACTGCTCAGGTTACTAAGAAAGAGCATATAGAGGAAAAGAGGGCCTAGACAGGCTCTTGGGGAACACTCACAGTTAGGGAGGAATGATATGGATGACGAGTCAGCAAAGGAGCCATAGAAAAAAATGGTCAGACAAGAGGAGAATGTGCAGGCAGTAACTGTAGAAAGCTTTTGCTAGGAAATGAGAAAGAATTATGCTTAAATGGATGGTAGGGAAGGGTTGTTTCTGTTTTTGTAAAGGACAAAGGATATCTGGGCATGTTTAAAGGCAATGGGGAACCAGCACATAGGAAGAGTCTGAAAACTGGGAGTGGGGTTAGTGAGATTGTAATCACTGGGCATGATTGGGGGCCCGGGGAGGGGGGTTGTGGTAATGATGAAAAGAGGTTCACCTTGTCAGGTGTCACCTCTCACAGACTGGGGGGAAAAGAAGCAAGACGAGAAGATGATATTAAAAGGTTCTGAAATTAAGAGAAGGGGAAAAAAGGGAACTGACTTTGAATGGTCCCGATTTTTTCAGCAAAGTAGGAGTTGAGGTCTGTGTGTTGGGGAAAGTATAGGTTAGATTTGGTTGAACAGACAGAAGAGGGGAAAAGAGCAATTAATGGCAGAAATTTATGATGGGAATTTCAAGCAGCAATGAGGTCGGTGAAAAGCAACAGCCAAGAGAAATGATCACAAAGAAGAAATAAATGAATAGTTAGAACTCCTAGGAGGCAATGAGCCAAAGCATAAGCTGGGTCATATACATGTCAACAATCTTTAAGGGTATCACTGCCAGGACAGAGAAAAGGAAAAACAAATTAGAACATCATTACAGCCTGAAAATAGTTGATATAAGGACAAGTAATCCCTATGTATTTCAATAATTCCTGAAGGCATCACTGTGTTAAAACATGGAAAAATAATTTACGTCAGAATGATGATCTTAAGCCATTAACACAAGTTTAAATTTCATTCAAGATACTGTTGATTAAGGCTGGGAATGATATAAAACACTTTAGGGAAACTTTAAATTTTTGAGTTTCAGTATTTTTTTTAGAAATCTATCAAATTTAACTAATCAAGAAAGCTTAATAATTAGAAAGCCTTTTAATTTTTTTAAATAATACAAAGAAAAGCATCTCTTTCTAGTAATAGACCAGTAGGTTACACAAAATAGAAGTACTGCTTTACCTATGCATAGAACTCAATGTAGTTCAAAGTAACATGATTCTAATTCTAGTGTCTTTTAGTTTAAAACAAAGTAATTTTTCTCCATGAAATATAAAGGTGGTTATTCTCTTTGGTCTAAGAGATAAAAAAGTTAGCTCTTCTGTCATATTCATTGTATCAAGAAGTCTGAATTTCTTCCATTTCACCAATATTCGAGTTTAATTACAAACTCCAAAGGGGATAATGATGCTTTTGCAGTCACAATACACACACTGCAGAGCCAAGACTGATGGAGAATTCAACAAGACAGCAGAAATGCAAGTGAATGCCTGTGTGTTGCTGGACTTTACAGAGGCCTAGCGCTAACTATATATAATGTTTTTGCAATGTTTAGGAAAATACAAAAATAAAGGTAATACTTATATTAAAAATACAGTTTTGCGATGTACTGTATTTAATTATAATAGTTTAGAAAAAGCATAGCTAGCTAACAAAATTCTTACAGATCACAGAAGGTCCAGGAGATCAGTTTGGCAATTAATGATTTTGTCTACATCCCCATTTTGGTATATTACATCTTGTTAGTAGCAAAGCCAGATCTCTTAACTCTGAATTAAAATGAAACATGATATTTAATAAATAATTAAACAAATTAAGAGAAACACTTACGAATAGGATGTCAGTTTGTCTAGGTCATTGTGCATGTTAAAAGCATAGACTTCTCCTAAATGAAAGAGCTTTTCCAATGCTTCATAGATAAATATGATGCAAATAAGAGCTGCGAAGGCCTCTTCGGTAAACCGAGTGATGTAACACACAAGGCTGCTTGCATCTGTTGCTACCAAGACAATGCACAAAAAGGAAGTCCAGAGACCAATGCTGGTCCGTAATGATAGATAGGAAAGACTGTAATCTCTGTTTAAAAAGAAACATGCACATATGCAGCACAAGTCAAAAGCAGCACCTTCCCTCATATTCTTAAAAACATGTGACCAAAAATGCATGACATGAAACTAAACATCCTAAGAGACATTAAATAGGCAACAAATGGAAATAAGGAAATGAAGTCTTTTCTTTACTTTGAGACTATCTTCCTTCCACTAACAAATGTAAGTTTTATTTTTGCATATTTATACAAAAATTGACAAGGAAGATATGTGTAACTGTAGATGCTTCAAAGAATATTGATTTTAAACATTTAACAAATCCTAGTTTTCACAGCTTGAAAATAATCAATGAAATCCATTTCCCCTTAATTTTAGAAAATATTACACAAAGCTAAAAGAACTATCACTTACTTGCAGAATTTAAATAATATTTTTTCAAATACAAGAACTGGTCCTGTACTTCCTAAGATTGTAAGTGGCTGCCCAGAAAACAATGAATAGGCGATCCCAGTTAACGATGCTCCAAAAAGAGACTCTATTGCACTCTGGTTTTGGGGAGAAAAGCCATAAAAACAAATCCATCACAGATATTCCATTAATCTGCTATAAGCATATAGGCATCTAGAAAGAAAGCCTGAATAAAAATGTTAATCAAACAAATGCTACCATCATTTATGGTAGTATAAGCTACACAGTCAATAAGAAAAAAACCTAAAATATTTATTGAACAGAACATACCAGATCAAAAGTAAAAATTGTAAAAAATTGTGGAACATTAACACATGCAGGGAAATATGCCTTTCCTCCTACTTATTACAAGTGATTGTTCTGCCACATACCTGATTTAAAACTTCATATGATGAAATCATTCAAGAGGCTTTAGCAAAAACACTGATTGACTGTTACTAAGGCATTTTTTATCTAATAGACAAACAAGAAACATATATATATACACACACACACACAAAAGACTATTCAGAAACGTTCTCAATGCTGAAACTAAAATCCTAACTATAAACTAGTCAGGGAAAAAGTCAGGGAAAAGAAAATTCTACTAATTTTCTTATACTTTTTCTGGATTTTTTAAAATTTTAAAACAGTAAGTTATCTTTTATTATTAAAGTCTGTAAAAGAGAATAAACCATAAAAAGAAGCCAACCTGCCTCAAAATGAAAGCATGCTAACTTAGGGCCACTATCAAAATATGACTGGGGAAGCAACAAACAACTACTCAATAGGAAAATATAAAAAAAAAAAGAATGGAGTTAATCGCTCACCAACACCCTACCCTTCATTAAATTGGCCTAACAACAGTATAAAAAAATTAGAATAAGGAGGAAAATAACTGTAAGAAAAGTAAAATTTGGGTCAGATAGGATGTTCCACGGTCCCCCTAACTGCAATAAAACCTCTTTCAAAATTTAAAAGTGACCTTACATTATGGAAGCAAAATTAAACCATTAACTTACAACCTGGATTGTGTCCATAGGCAAAATTGTCTGAGGGAGTAAGCATCATACCAACAATAACATGTTTAACTGTACAGTGTGTAAATGTTTCATATTATGAAATAAGACAACATACTTTGAATTTGTCCTTGAGTTACAGATTAATAATGAGCTGTCTTAAACTGCTGAAATGCATATTTGTTAGAACCAATCTATGTTGTAGTCTACGTGACAAAAGATATATAGGTAAAATGGTATCTGAGAAAAGAAAGCCAAAACTATTGCAAAGATAGTACGGTAATGAAGTGACAATACACCAGCAAACAGGAAGAGTCAAGGACCAGTTCCTGAACTCCTCAGCGAGGGTCAATATATAAAACTCCCCATCTACCATTTACGTGAATGTTTCCTCCCTTTGGAATGACTGTATGCATGAATATATCTGCTTATTGTGGCATCTTTCTGCCCACAAATCTCACCTTGCCCTCTGGAGGGCTGGGTTCTCCATTCTCAGACTCAGCCTGCTCCATGTCTTTCTTATGCCACCTGGTTTTCTATTCTCTCTCCCCTAGGTCTCCTACCTACTTCAATTCAAATCAACCCACCACTCCAGATATAGACATCAGCCATGCTCTGGTCAATTATACCCTCATATACACAACACTCATTCCTTATTCCAAGCCAGATCTGTCCTCATTTCTCTCTCCCTACAACCACCTTCCATCTACTACTCTGCAAAACCTACCAGCATTGGAGGCAAAAGTCCCTTTAACCAAGAACTATTGTTTTCATCCTCCTCTCTCTCCTTGACCTAAATGAATCTGGATCTCTGGAAATAATTTATATTCCACTGCCCCTTCCCACTGATGGGGAAATTTTACCCAATCCTCCCAAAGAAAATGGAAATCTGCCCAGAATTATCAACACGCCTTTCAAAATAATAATAAAAAATGACACTCTCTCTTTTCATCATTTCAAGTCCACAACATATTTCTGTCTGTGCTCTTCATATCAAAACTGCCATCATCTGCTGTCTCTTGAATCATTTCCTAACAACTTTTCCAGAAAACTTCAGCATCAAGTCCACATTCTTCCTTTTTCCTTTGTCCACAGTAGTCAGCACTTAAGTGATTTCAATATTCAGCTTAATGAGCCTTAATCTCATGGTTCTTGAACCTCTATGCTTTGTAGACCTCCAAAAGTACTCTGCAACAACTAGTCCAACTCTCTGAACTTCCTCATTATACAAGACTACTTCAATATCTCCAAGTCCTTCAATTCTCCATGCTTATCTATCCTCTCTTCAATCAACCAATCAATAAGCACTATGCTAGATGCAGGAGATAAAAATACAAAGAAAAGAGGAAAGGGTTGGAAAAAACCTACTCTTAAGGATCTAACAGGCAGAACAACAAATATAGATTAGCACAGTGTTTGGCACATAGTAGGTGCTTAATAAATGCTTGTTTATGACCATATATACAGAAAAAATATAAACAGAATGAATAAGAAGTAGGTAAATACAAGGAAGTTTGAGAGGGAGGGTAACAGAGGGAAGGAGAGAACAGGAAATGCTATTTAATACATTTAGAAACATTATTCTGAGAAGGGGCTCACAGGCTTTACCAGACTGATAGAGGGGTCCGTGACACAACATAGGCGGCTCTGAACAATCCTCTCTCCCAACCTTTTTGCCAGATCAATCTTTTTAAAAGCACAAAAATAGCTTATGCTTTTTTGCCTTGGCATCAAGGCATTCATTCACACTATTCCATCTAGAATGAACTCTCCTACCACATCTACCTATCAAAATCCTACCCATCCCCCAAGGCCCAACTCAAATACTATAAAAGTATTCACTATCACAGAAGCCTGAAATTATGTGTCTGTCCTCTGGACTTCTACCAATCATCAAATACTTCCTGTGCTGTGCTTATATGTGTACATGCCTTAAGTCTTTGACTAGATCATAAGATTCTTTAAAACAAAGGACTACATTACTGAATAAGGATGAGAAAAGGAAGCAATGAGGAAGCCCTGCATATTTCAATATAATACTCAAAAGGAAATATATGCATCTTAGTCAACATTTTTATTTCCTCTTTTAGAATGTAAATCCTTTGTGAGTAGAGATTATTTCATTTTATTGCATTTGTATCCCCGACTTCCAGCCCAGTGCCTGGCACAAAACGGAATTTAATAAATCTGTGTTGATTGATTGAATACCAACTATTTGAAAATGTAGCTTTTTTTAAAAAATTAAAGCAAAACAAATGAGACTTTATGATATTCTAAAACAACTTTTGAAAAATTCATATTTCAAAGAAAAAATTATTAGGTTTATTTTCACAATAAGTCTATGTAGTACTACACTTAAATAAAATTACTCATAAAACCATTTTTTTAAATTAAAGAATCAAATTTTTAGGCTTTGTTAGATTTCAGAATTTCATCAAAAATAAGTTTTATACCAATGGTAAATTTAACAGTAGAAGAAAGAATAACTCACAGCACATAATTATGAACCATCACATTCAATCAAGTACCAAAAAAAAAATCAAGATTTCCAAGGCATTAGATATTAGATTAAAAGATACAATTTAATACACAATAACCAGCTATAGTATTAAACAACAAAAGAAAAAACATACACATTTATTTTTGTCATATTAAAAGAAGATTTTAGCAAACCATTCTTCCCTTGTGCTAGCTTTTTTATATTTAGATTAAATAGCAAGAAAGTTAAAGAAAGCACCATTGCAGAACCCAGTGTTTCTACAATTCTGTTTGAGATAGGCCAAGGCCAACTAACCAGGTCAAGCTTATCCTACTTCAGAAGGCCTCAGAAGATGGCATACCACTCCTACTTACATTTCTCCACCCACCTCCCACTGCTCTTTTCCTCCTCCTCCACCCCATCCTCCCCTACCCCACCACCACCCCAAATAAAGACAATATAAGCCCTTTCTCAATTAGTAAAGAAAGCCATTCAACCAGCAAGCTAGGACAAACATTTGTTTTTACCTCCACTGTGCATCTTCTACTGTTCACATGTGTTCCCCACATTTTCCACAGCAATTACCTTTAGGGAAAGTCTGCTTTGGGGCAGGTTAATCAAATGCTGTGGGTAAACTCTTCAAATACAAGTATGAATAGATGAGACAAATGCACAGAGACACTTGCCTCTGAAGATCTAAAAGCCTGGCCACTACCATTCTTTGTACTCACTATTCTGCCTTCTGTAGCTTCTCCAAGGAGCCCTCCAAAAGTGATTACAGGAGACATACAGGCACAGTATAGGAAAAGAATCGAGGCCAGGCACTGCAGGCTTAATGCATCCTTGAAGTCACTCAAGAAAAAAGGTGCTTTCCTTTTGATGTCAAGTATCAAACCACCAAAAAGCCTAAATAGGTGAGATGAAACTCGTCAAACTGTACACTGAAGGATTCTAGCTAGTTTCAACTCATAGTATGGACTACACAAGATGGCCAGTGCCCATTGCTTGTCAATAGACTTTAAAATCATGATACACATGGAAGAAAATACAATAATTTAGTCTAGTTCAAGGATGACAAGGGTTTTTAGAGAGCTGGTTACATTATATTTGACCCCCAAAAAAAAGACAAATGAGAAGTTACAATATCTATTATGGGCTACATACTAAAAAGATTGCAGTCACATCATTTAATAATTGATGAAATCCTAGACACAAACGTATAAGAGAAGTAGATGTACAATGCAAATTTTCAAATCCAGCCACACAACTTAAAGCCAACTTGAATATACAGGACTCACTCCCACCAACTATGTTCTATAAACACACTTTTTTATACACTTAGAAACATTATTCTGAGGAACAGCCTCAGAATTAATCTGAAAGGAATTTTAATCTCATTTCTTTGCATTAAATACACTATATCATTGTGTACACAAGATGCAGCCAGGCATGGCAGATATTGAGCTGTCTTTGAAGCCTGGAAGACCTGGTTTCAAGCTCCACTGACACATTGTGGTGTGTCAAACCTCTCAGTGCTCTGGCCGGGTTCTAACACAAGAACGTGCTGACAAGGTACCTCGCCCTTGAGTGAGGTTCCTCCGCTGGGTGTGAAATCTAGATCAACAAAATCTCAGGTCCAGTGTTTTCCCTATCCCTGTTTATAAAGGTCTACAGTATGTATTCTGCAGTACGTTACAGGGGGTTGAGAAAAGTAATTGAATATTTTAGCCAGTATAATGAAATAATATAAAATTTAAATATATGAAGAAAAACACTGCAGTGTTCCCACATAAAATTCTAAGCATTGAGATTTGTTTAAATAATTCACTCTATTTTCAAAATATTTCCTAATTTCTCTGTATATAATAAAATTAAATAAACATGTAAAAAGATTTCAATTGACAAAAGCAACATTAACATTTATATACCAAAGTCATGTCATTTAAAATGTTTATGTCACTCTTAAGCCTTTAGGAAACACATCTTGATACTGAATAAAATTTTGTGACTAAAGAAGCAAAAATCTGCTAAGTTTACTATGACATTTTAAAAGGATAAGTCATTATTTCAATTATTGATAGTCCTAATAATGAAGGAAAGAACTGCATTAATAAACCAAGTTTTCAGGTATGTATAGTATAGTGTTTTCGTGCCTTACATGATTTCCTCCTCCCCCAGCAATTTCTCCTTTGTTGACTGTCTTTTCCTTAAACTAATACTAATACTGGGTCACAGTCTCTAAGCAAACACTGACCAAATACAAAGGTTATAATCATACAAAGGTAATATACTGAAGTATATTACAAAGTAAACCTGTCAAAGATTAAAATTAACATAGACAGGGCCAAAGTAATTTACATAAAGATAATTTTAAAACTGACTACATCATAAAGTTGGCTAACATAAGGTTCTAAAGCCACTTGGGTCTACGTGTCTGGCCACCACTGTGTCCTCTGTTGCCACTGTCCAAAGAGCCAAAAAAATGTGATATGCCTTGGCCAACTCCTGGAAAAAGGCTCCAAGAACTCTTTGGGGAAAAAAAAACTCCTCCCAAGTTGTAGTGAAAAAGGAATAAATATCTATCTGCCTATCTATCTACCCTTCTAGCTAGCTAGCTATTTACAGGACTTCAGGCCATTTACCAAAATCTCTAACAGCTGCTCAATGGCAAATGCTTTACTAAACAGATTTTGAGGATTCAGAATCTGTGGGCAAAGAAACAACTGTTGTTGAACGCTATCCTAGTAAAATGGAATTAACACATTTATCTCCATCCAAGGAGAATCAGAAAGTATTTTAAAAGTGTCAACTATGTTCCTGCACAGGCTATGTTTCTGTTCTCGGTATGTTTTTTGTTCCAACGATAAAATCTCAAAGTTACCTTCAAATTTCCCAATGACTTATTTCTAATTTTATTCTCATAGGCATTTCAATAAGATTTACTAAGCTGCACCATTATTGTTGCAACAACTATAAATGATGTACTGCAAAATCAGTAGTTATTCAGATTTCCTTTCTGAGTTATAAATAAGTCTTTAGCCGATACTCTTCTTCCTTCCTAAACTTTTATGCTCCTTTGATGGGTATCATTACTATTCTATACTCTCTTCAAGCATAACCTGGGTTTGGACTGAAAGATACATGATAGCATATAATGACAGCATATGATAGCTGGAAAAAATGATAGCAAAAGTCATGCAATGTTTTGAATATCTAGCCCATTGTTATAAGTGCCTATAATTAAGTAAAATAAATTCACATCCATAATATTAAAGCTATTTTAAAATTATAGATAGGGTAAATGTATATTTAAGATGGTGAAATTACTACCATATTTTAAAATGTCAAATATCAAACACTCAAGAGAAACAATATTCAAATACACACACACACACACACACACACACACACACACACACACACACCCTACAAATCTATAAACACATACCATATAACAATCTACATTCAATGAAGCTTTAATATGATCTTTCTGAAATTCACATATGAGCCAGTAAACACACCTGCCAGTCCTCTGCAGTTCTGGTCCGGCATGATGGCCCTCTTCTTTCTGCATCTCACCTGATGAAGGTGTAGATCCATTTGGAAATATGGGGATCTTCCTCTTTTCCTGCATTCAAAAATGCATAACATTATAAGATTTATGTATGTATATATACATGCATGTGTGTACACATCTACATATGTGCATCTGTATCTGCATATATGTATGAACACACATCTACATATATACACATAGGTATATTTTTTTAAAGCAGTTCATATTAAGAATGCTGAATTGGTCTCTTCAAAATAAGTCAGATTAAAATGTTTATCAATTTTGGCACTGATTGTTTCTCATAAAAGTAAAAGGTGCTGGGGAGAGTTTCTACTTTAGCTTTTGTTCAAGCCTTCGTTTTTATCATTCTTTACTAGAGCACTAATATTTCAGTCTTCGTGATCATTCTTTTATGTGTTCTCAAAAACATGACACGAAACATGTTATCTTTAAAAATCCAAGCAGTTTTTAAAAAGACTGAAATCAGTTAATTTTAAAATAAAGCATCCCCAAAAGGGAGATGACACAAATATCTAGGGCAGAAGAAAATACATACATCCTCATTTTCATGAGAAGATAAAATATTCTGTTATTAAATATTGGAGTAGAACTTCTTAAGTGGTGGATGGGTACCACATAAGTCTTCATTAAACTTTGGTTTGTAATAGAGTCAGTCACTTTTCCATTACTATGGGTCAGAGAAGTCCTTTCCTTTTTAAGCAGTCCTCATCATCGCCTCTCTGTAGTAATCAGGCCTAAGTGGGATTCAACAAAAGATCAGACACCCACCCACCCCAAAGGACCACCCCAAAGGAGGGCCACTATGGTTTTGCTTGAAAAACAGATCCATTATTTTATTGATAAAATTGGATTTTAATACAATTGTTTTGGCACATACCACAGATCAATTCCTATTATTACTCACATAAAGATTAAATGAAAACATTTACAATAAACATAAACCAAAAAAATAATCCTAAGGAACCTGACCTGAGAAGGCACACTCTTTGGTGGCTCAATGCGTATAGAAGGGTCCCACTCTCCTGGAGGCAGAACAGTTACTTGGTCTAAAAATTCATCAATTCCAGAAAGGAGGTCATTTCTATCTTTTGCTTTATATGCAACATCATGGAAAATCTTAAGAAGAGAAAAAGTATAATTTCCTATAATGATTTTCTATTTGATAGATTCAGCATATAAAAAATATGTTCTAAAGAATCACAAATAAATCTATATCAACAGTGACAACAAAAGGAGCCATACACCACATCAAGTGCCTCCCTATTGGAATTATTAAAGTACCTTAACTGCAACCACACAACAAAACAGTGGTGCTTCCTTCCAGCCAAGTTGGTAGAGTACTCCTTGAACAATTAGACGATGCTACTGCACTCCACTAGAATAAAGCAAGCTTTTCTTAAAAAATTCATTTGAAGCTATTTGTTAGAAAGACATCAGATTAAAGTGTGTATTTTTAAAATGTGTTTCCACCAGGAATAAATTAAGTTGCTAGCCTCAGGCTTCCTAATAGTATATTGTTATTAAAAAAAAAAAAACCTTCAATGTGTCACATTCTATAGAAAGGAGGGTGAAGAAAAAAGAGAGAGAAGGGAAAAAGAAGGAAGACAGGTAGGAAGGGCAGAGGGATGGGGATGGGGGGAGAGAGAGAGAAGAAAGATAAAAGAAAGATAGGTAAGAATGAAAGAGGGGAGACAGAAAATGACTTTACAATCTTTTCCTTCTAAATTATCAAAATATTGAATGCAAATCTTATCTATGTCTGATATATCTGCCCAATGTTGAATTGTGGAGAGATGGTTAAGAAAAAAAATATGTCTGCAATACATGATTGACTTTAAAGCAAGACATCTGAATTGTGGTGCTATGGATAACTAAAGAAATTTTTATGAGTACTATTTTCCCCAAAATAGACCTGAATGAAACAGACTGTAAAGAAGACAACAGAATAAAAACGTTCCATTTCCTAGACACTTTAAACATTCAACATACTAAGAACAAAAGAAAACGCAATTAGTGATTGAAGTGCTAGACACACCTAAGACCATAGCTTCAGAGGAAAAGGAAGGTAGAAAAATGATAGAGCCTAAAGCCTTGGTGTTCTGCCATCAGGGTCCCTCAGTGTCACTTGATCATAGAGAGCGAAGGGACCTTGGAGGCCTGAGGCATCAAATCCAACCATTCATTTTACAGGCGAGAAAGTTGAAGCCCATGAAGGTTAAATGACCTGCCCAGGGTCACACAGATATTAAGTGGCAGGACAAGGATTTGAACTTGTGTTCTTTAAATGCAGGATTCTGCCCAGTGAGTCACTATGCTATGACACAGAAGTACACTGGGACTTCAGTAATATTCAACCAACTTATCATGATTTGTTTCTTTGCTTGCACTATACAGTGCTTATTCATCAAAACTTCAGCATGTTTTCCCTTACCTCATCTGTCATGAGGGTAGCTATTGATCTCCCAATTTCATGGTACTGTGGAGCCTTGCCTGCAGGGCCCAGTAATAGAAACAAAAACCTAGAAAAGATTTAAGATAGAGAGAGAGAGAATTCAAGGTAAGCCAAAATGTAGGAACAACCTTTTAAAAATAATTCTAAGCAATTAAACACAGCCATTAGCAAAATGAGAAGGCAAAGAACTTCATGGAGAGAAGGACTGGCTGCACGGGAGGGCCATCAATTCTTGCTGATCTGCACAAATCAAGGGATACCTAGCATAAATAACCAACAAATACTTTATTTAATTTTTGTGTTTTACATCTAGATGTGAAGGTAGCTACTAGTCTTAGAAATCCTCATCCAGCATCTATATGATGAGCACACAATGGAGAGGTAGTCACCTCACCACAGCCTAGTGCTATAAATAATCACCAGGTGCCTTCCCTCCTCATCACCCCACAAGGTTACAGATGAGCTGGGACGAGGCAAGGGGCTCCTCCAGGCAATGGACGAGACGGAATCTGAATTCGCCGTTTTTGACTCCGAGTCCAGTGCTCTATGCCACACTGCCTCTCACATCTTTCATTGGAGACTCTGGACATGAAGCTTCCTTCACATTTAAAATTAAGATTCATATAATGCTTTAAGGTTGGCAAAACATTTTCTTCACAATTATCATTCCCCCACCCTCACACCTTGTCCTTTTGGCTCACAAAAGTGACATTACTTGCCCAAACTCCCACAGCTGGGAAAACCAAAGAACCTTAAGAATGGGAAAAGACTGCCTCCCCTTTCTCCCCCTCCTTTTTCCCTTCTCTCTTTTCCTCCTCTCCCTCTTCTTCATCCCCTCCCCTTCCTCCCTCCCTTCTCCCCTTCCTCCTCCCCTTTTTCACCCTTCCCTTCCCCTACCTCCTCCTCATCTCTCCTCTTCTTCCCTCCCCAAAGTGTTCAAATCCACCATGCTTCCTGACAAATAAGACCATCTGCACCACCACTGACGAGGAGTCAGGGGGCCACCAAGTCTCTGCTTGCAGAATCCCAGTGACACTAACCCACCAAGCTGTCCGTTCCATGGCTAAAGAGCTCCAATTGTTGGAAAGTCTGTCCAACTATAATCTCCCTTCCTTTGTGGAGCTTTACTCTCCAGACAACTCCTACCTCTCTTGCACATGCTAATGATGACAACTGAAAATACTACCTCAGTTAACTGATGGATTTAGTGCTATGCCAGAGAAACTGCAGAGGAGGTAAGTTTTGAGAATCAGAACAAATAAATAAAAAAGGCCTACCACTGTAAAGGAAAGAATGAGAAGCATGAATGAGGGGGCAGGCTAACTGGCATAAAATATACCTCCTCATTTACAGCACAGATTGGAAAGACTACCCAAGACAAAACAGTATATATGTACTCAGATACAGCCATGTCTTTGCTTAATTGCCTCTCTCTGTCACAAAGCGGTAGATAGGAAATAATTGGGATGGAGAGATAAAAGACATCAACAAAACCTTTTAAACAGGCTGACTAAAAGTAAATTAATTTTTTTCCAGCCACAAAAACTTAAAGAGATACATTCTACTAAGGCATGAAGAGGGTGCTACCAGCAGAGTCAGAAGGAGTTCTCACCCTGTTCAAAACACAGATCCTTGGAAGTACTGAAGAAGGATGCAGAAAATGGAACCATTTGTAAGAATTAGTTTTTCTCAAAAATCTCCTTCTCCTTCGAATCTCACATAGCATTTTTTTTGTTTGCATCTCTCTCATGGATATATTGGGTAGTATTACAATACATAATTAATTTGTGTTTTAACCTTTTACTAGACTGTGAGCTCCATGAGGACAGGACTAAGATTTTATTTATAAATTCTGTATTTCTACAGTGTTGAGCACAGTCTCTGCACACAGTAGACATTTGGATGAATGAACGAATGAATGAACTGAAACACTGGGTATCAGTGGGAATGCACTGGGAATCTGGGATTGCCAGAACTTATCAGATGTTAGCCATGATACAATTTAATGCTATAGTACTATTTACAAGGACCCAGAAGGAAACATAAAGTGTTATACATAATTAGGAGTGAATATACTGAAAAGATATAAAAATTAAAATATTAAAAGAGTGACAACCTGATTATTTTCCACATAAGATGTCAAACACATTTCATCCAGTGTAAAGTGTCAACAACATAGAGAAGCTTCTAAAAGGCATTTTCTCTCAGGTGCTGATTTTTTTTCAGAGGGGGGAAGGGAAATGGGTTAAATGGAAGAGAAGGCTACTCCTTCCAGCCATGTCACTGCTACAGGAACCTTGTGCAAGGTCACAGAGCCTGTCTGAAGCAAGGGCAGGATTTGAACTCAGTTCTTCCAGACTCTAAAGCCTCTTTTCCACCTCAGAATGCTTACAAGGGGCAGAAAGTATTCACTCCACAATGTTTTCCTGCACAAGATGACTGAAATATTTACATTCATTAACTTTAATACATGCTGAATTTTGGGAACCATCACAATAACTGATTCTTTACCTGGTGGGCACCGGAACCTCAGTGAGGCCAGAAAGGAGGACGGCTGGGGACAGCCTCACAAATGCAATGATAGGCCTTTCCAAAAAATCCACTTCTCCCACCAAAACATTGGATGCTTCAGCTCCTGTGGGAATTTTCCTCATGAAATTCATGTCAACCTATTAGAAAACAGACAAATAACAATCAAACCCCAGGGGGTATTTTCATACCAATGCTAGAGACAATGGTAGGGAAGAGATGGGGAAAAAAGAAATAAAAATAATCTTTCATGAAAGACTACTGAGAATGATTTGATGGAAACATAAATCAAGAGCAAATTTTTCACACATCTACAAAACTAAAAAGACAAAATATGATAATATAAACAAGATGCCTGCTAAGCAACACTTTTAATGGTTTAATTACGCTCTAGTTTTTATTACTTCTAAACCTAAATTATTGTGCATTTTCACTAGAGAAAATTTTCAATGAATATAGTAACATTCATTCAAAACTCTAAGGACAAATACTTTTTCACAAACAACTAAGAGTTCATGAAATTACACACAGTTCTAGAAGTCATTTATTTATCATGACTGAATAAAGAATTAGTTACCACTCAAGTAAAATTAGTGTTCTTGCTTTTTAAAAGTTCAAAAGCTGATGCGGGCTCATCATGCAGGAAGAGTCACACCTTTCATTCTCATGACTATTATATTCTATAATCTAATGAAATACAGTCACTGTGTATAATTCCAAAGAACAGTTACGAAATGATAGCGCACTAGGTGAACGTCTTCATGTCTCTAACTCACAAGAGGCACTACACACCACTCACTAGCTACAAACAACAAAGCAAACACTTACAGCGGGCCTCTTGAGTCCCACACCCAGTGTGCCACAACTACAGTGCCAGGAGGCTGACTCCTGCCCAACAGGAGACAAGGAAGTGTACACAACATCAGGCCAAAGAAAAAAAATTAAAACTGACAAAGGATCAAAGAGAATCAGTGGCATCTGCCAAACCTGGAGGACCACTACCACAGGGGTCAACCTGCAGTCCTTCCAGCTGTTTATTTAACAAGGGCAGCCTGCAGTCCGGTTAGTAACCACTTTTCCCTTAGAACTACTCACAGAACTAAATCCTAAATAACTAGATAGGAAGAGTCACATTGACGAAACCGAGGCAGTTACAAGGAGCAGAGCTGGCAGCCTCACAAGCGCCACTGGGCCAGAGCTCTCTACCGTCTCAGTGGAGCAAGAACAGCAATATAAAATCCTGTTCAAGCTTTCTTTTTGTAGGAACATAGTTTTAGGGCAAATTTCATCAACAGAAAACCGTCAAAAGTCACATTTAAAATTTAAGAAATATTATCTTTAAACTATATTATGTAATACTATAAAAGCTTATAGTAAAAATGCTATTTAAAAAGCCAATCAGAATCAACTTTTCAAAAGTAATATGTAAAGTGAGCTCCATTACTCTGGTATTTAGCAATAGCTTTTAACCCTGTTACGCAGGAATTTTACCCCAAGCAACATAATTAGTTCTGATTTGAAATGGTTATTTTGAGATCTATGCTTTTCTCTTCTCTACCAGTGGTGGAAGAGCTGATATGCTACCTGGTGTCTAGTATGGACCCCACAAGATTACAGCCAGATTCAAAAGGTTAATTCACCAGGGCTGCCTCATCATTCTAGCATTGATCTTTCTAGTTCTAGTAGCGTTCAAATGTATCACTGACATCCAAAAGGTACTAAAGAGGCATGGGATCAATGGACAGGTATCACTGGAAATGCTGAAAAGTGTCCCAGGTTATCCAAACCCTCTCATACAGCTATTGTACATGTTAGCTAACCACCTTTTCTTAGATTTTCATGGTAAGATAATCACATGCTCAATAAAGTTTAGAATAACCCTTCTGTTAAAAATATGACTGTTAGAACCGTGGATTGGAGCATAAGTGTGAGACTGTGGACAATTACCTTCAAAGACAGAATTACCTTGCTGAAGTCAACAGTACTATTCTCTCTGCTTCCTCCAGCTCCATTACCTTTAGCTTCTCCACTTTTGCTACTGTCCAAGTTTCCAGGTGCTGACTGTGGAGATGCCAAAACGCCTATATTTTAAAAATGCACAAATCCAAAATAAATATATAAAAAAAATAGATTGTATAATGTAACATTGCTCTTAACTCTGACAGTGATGGTCTGCCAAAAGCAAATGTGCAAGTAAGCCAATGTGCAGCGTATTAGTACTTTACATAAAAGCAAATCAGTAGCTTGCCTCCCAAATGTAAATGGTGCCATTAGAAGTTGCCTCAATGATGGCCCCTCCCTCCAAAAAAGGAAGAATGACTTAGTGAAGAAAGAAGGAAGAAGACTAAAATAACACATTCAAATTGATTCCAACCACAAATATTTTGGAACTGAGCCCTCAAAAATTTGATATACATATGAACTTTATGGCCCATGATGACACAAAGTATAGAAACCAACCTGTACTTCATATGCTCAAACCAGGAGAAATTAAAACAACTTTCCCTGGGAACAAACTCTGCACAAAATAAGCTAGATACTAACTAAAAATACTTACTGCCTTAGCCTCTCATGGTCATCCCAACAAGCACTTAAGAGGATCACAGAACTAGGGCTAGAATAAACCTTAGCAGTCACCTAAGCCAGCCCTCTCATTTTACCAATGAGGAAACTGAAGCCCAGAAAGGCAAAAAGACACAGACACAGCAGCAAAGAGGAATTTTCCTTGATACCAGCCTATCAATGAACAGGCTATAAAAATGTAAGGAAAGCTCCTCACTCCCTGGTAGACTAAGAAACCAAAACACTAACAAGCAGAAGAAATACAAAAGCACTTGACTATATCCATGATCCTGTTTCATGGCACAAATGAGAACATTTTAATGTTCTTAAACATTTCTTGGAATAGTACTGTCATGGCACAAATTCAAACTAGAAGCTTTTTATGATAATAAACCCTCAATGAAAACAAACCAGTGGTTTATCCATACTAGCCAACACTCAATGGAAAAAAAATAGGCAACTCTAAAATAATGATTTCTCAAAATCTTCAGTTACCCTTTCACAATTTTTTGAGATGAAGCAGTTTAGCTCGAGACACTCAGTCCTCAGAATTTCTTTCCTTTGACCTTTGTACTCTAAAATAAATACATGTTAAGGACATCAGTTAAGTTACTTTTAATAAAGAATCTATTTTGTTTAGTCCTCTTGTCAAAAAAAATGCCTCTTAAGAATATTCTGCATTAGGTTTACAAATATGGTGGGCTAATTTCAGATCTTGACCATAAAGTGAAGCAAAGAGCTGATACCATGGATAAAAGAAAGCAAGAACAATGCATACATTAACCTCAACCACTATGACATAGAACTGTTTGGGAGATAAGAGAACCAAGGATGCTATATTGTCTCCCCTCCCACTCTTTGTCCTTATCTTCATGTTCAATTGTTTTCCAAGGCACAAAAGCTATTTTCTTTTCCTAAGGCTATATCAAGGAAGTAGACAGATTTAAGACATTTTCTTCACACTATAACCTTAATTCAAATATAGTTTAGTGAAAAGAGCACAGGAATCTTGGCTCTGCTGCTTACTACAGGAGTGAATTTGAGCAAGTCATTTGAAATCTCTGGGTCTTAGTTTGCTCATCTATGAGGGCATTAGACTACATGATCTAGGTTACCATCAAGCTCCAAAACTATGGTCCTATGGATATACAATTCATGCAAAAATATTATGATAGTGAATGTTAGTAATATTCTATAAATTTAGTCAAACGAGTCAAATAATTTCCCCTATTTTTTTCCTTTCATGATCACACTAAACTGTAAAATCTTTGAGAGCAGGGACCTAGTACATGAGTAGATATGTAATAAGTGTTTGTTGAATTGACCTGCATTTGTGCATCCCTCAACATTTAGCATAATGTTTTGTGGAATAATAACTTAACAAATGTTTGTTGAATTAACTATAACCCAGAAGTCTTTGATGTGACTCTTACAGTCAATGTGAAAGAGAGCCTTGAGGTAACTTCTCTATAAGCATAATGTTAAAATTCCACAGTTAACATTAGGTTTTCAAAGAACTGTATAGACCAAAGCGATACATACAGCTTATTTTTAAAAGGCAGGACTACTCCTAGTTGTCCCCATATTTCCTTTCCAAAGCTACACAATTTCACAGACAAGGCGTTTCTGAAAGAGAAATTAAACAAGGATCTTCCCAAAGTCAAAAGTATTTTCTTTCATCTTTGTAAGCAGTCTTTCTGGCTACCACTGCAAAGTGTATTCTACTCTCAGAAAAGCAGTTTTAATGAGATTAATATTGATAAATATTAAAATGTCACTCTTCTACAATATGCATAAGAAATAGCTGTAATTTTTTCCCCTGGGGAGGAAGGAAGGTATTCCCATTACAGCATCTTACTTTTACTTGACATACAAAATACAACTACATAAGGTGTTCTGGGCTTCCTGTGTGAAGTCTTTTCTTGGTATAATTTCCACAGAAAATGATATAGCAAGAGATTTTTACGGCAGCTGACAAATGGGATGCACCCAGAAAAGTCATGCATTAAGAATTCAAGGGAAAACATTAGTGAACCTCAATGAAATACACTATCATTATTTAAAAAAAAAGTAAGAATTGAGATGGTACTGTTTGACTATCATTTCTTGATTATCAGTAGCTGTAAGTTATTATATAAAGGATTATTCCTTACCTAAATACCATTATCATTAACATGACTATATTCTTTTCTAACAAATCAAAATTAAATTTGCTACTTAGGAAGTTTCCTATATTCTGATATACTAAACCCATTAAAATGGAGAATAAACAACATCTTGATGTTATCACATTTCTCTCTATATTTGTAACTGTTAATTTATACTAAGAGGCAACAAGGCAGGGTAGGTAAAGAGCCAGCCTTGAAGGTCAGAAGCTTGGAGTTCAAGGACTCCTGCCTCTGACATACATTGGCCATAGGGCCCTGGGTGCTCCAGGTCCTTGTCTCAGACTAGTCAATATTGGCCTACGTCAGCAGAAGGAGGGTTCCTCTAGGAATGAAGTCCCAGGACTTAATTTATATGATTATATAACTAGTAAGTCTTAGTGATGTCATAAACGAAGACCTGAAAAATGGGCAAAAACACACACTTTCAGAAAAGCACACCTTTTTTCTCTCTATTTTTAATTCTATAGAAGAAATGTATATGTAAATAATTTTCCAGAGTAATTCTAACTCACCATAATCTAAACACTGTGTCCCATACCAAAGACAAAGAAATACGTTCCATCGAAATTTCTAATTTATATGCATAGCCATAACTTTGGCAAGAACTAAACAAGCTTTAGTCCGTCAAATTTTAATATAAATTTGTCTTAAAGAAAACAATCAGGCTCAAATGCAGAATACCCAGTCTGTATTCTAGGCTCTAACACTTTCCCATCATAAATGTTGATCAGCCATGATATAAATGTCACAAATTCCTTGGATAAAATCAGGGCAAAGTAATTCAATCTGGGCTTCCCAGAGAAGACAAAATGATTACTATAAATTATGGATAAAATGTTCTCATTAAGTAGACTGGATTTTGAATTAATCCTCAAAATATTAATCCTCAAAAAATTTTTACATCACAATAATATATTCACCTGAAGACAGAAAAATTGTTTCTAACAAGTCCTCTTAAATCATTTAAGTGCTCTACTAGTTAAAAAAGCTCCATTGCCAATTCAAAAGGTGACCTTAAATGGGCTTTTATTTTAAAAACTACAAAGTTTTTTAATAACACACTACAATTACTGCAGAAGAAAAAACATGCACCAGTCAAAATAAATGGTAAGCACTACTCATATACTGCTCAAGCTATGTGCCAAAAAAAGCATTCCGATGCAAGTGAGGCAGATCCAGAAAGCACCACACAGAGCTGTGGATAGTTGCCTGGGCTTAGGTCAATATTTTCCTCCTTCTTCTGCTCCTGGCACTGCAGTGCTTCTAATTCTTCCTCAGGTGGATGAATTACTACTGTGGGGATATCATCACTGGCAGATGAAATCAGAAATTCTGGGACCTGAAGCTGACTCTGCTGAGAACTTCTGGAATCCAGTCGACTGACTTTAGGACTGGAGGGTGGACTGTTTTGAGGGGTGGGTGTTGGGGTTGTACACCTGGAGGCTGCCGGAGTCCCAGCTCGTGAAGAAGGAAGAAGATGACTGAGAAGGGACAAAGGTGATTCTCCTCTCAGTGAAAGATTTGAAGCAGATAGGCCTGTTCGTAAAGAGTGGCGGGAGGCTGAAAGGCCTTCCCCTGAGATAAAAAAATAAATGAAAAATTATGACGTTCACAGCAGGAATGCAAAAAAGAGGCACAAAAATGTATCATTTCTGACATAAATCACAAGCTTTCAAGAGTCAAAAATTCAATTTCATGCAGGTGTGGAGTAAGCATAGCAATCAGGCTTCACAGGTATTAGAAAACTGGTACAGACTCTACTGATCAGTTAGTTCACTCAAGAAACCACAAGAAAAAAGAATGTTAATGAGGAGAGATGAAAAAAACCAGTCAGCATTTAATATAAAATGAAAGGACAATTATACCCCTTGGTTCCCTAGCTTTTTGAAAAGCAACAAACCAGAATCAAATTGTCATTTAAATAAGACAGGACACCTAACTTATAGCATCTTGCACTTATTACCATGCAAAGAGAGTCTCAACCAATGAGGCCGAGCAGCAACTTACCAGCATGTCAGAGACTCACTGTACCTCTGTTCCTACAAAGAAGAGATCTACCACTTCTCCCATAGTCTCTATCACTGCTTCCTTGTAAGAGTGTTGAACTAGAACAAGACATTAGTATACTCTGCCTAATGGAGATGTTCTCCAAGCAGAACTACTGAGCATAATTTAAAAGTACTCAACTAGAGAAAAACTGTATCAAGGTCATTGAGAGGCCTCAAAATATTCAAAAACATTTAACAATAAAGATGATGAAACTGGGTTCTACTAACAAAGAGAAGGAAAAAAACTACATAGCATTAACTGAAAACTCATGTCTGCCTCCACTCCACGAAAACAACTAGAAGCTCATGATTAAAAGGAAGCCACTTTATAATATTTCGAAGGGTTAACGTGTGCTCAGATGTCAAACAGAGGAAAAGCTCATACTCTCAACTACAAATGGTAGGAAAAAATCCAACGGTTCATGCTGCAGGGCTTCAGAGCCGCTTCCCAGGAGTACCCACCACCCCAGAAACATTCATGGTCCCTGTTTTAGGCCATCTAGTCCAGTGAACTCATTTTCTTGGTGAGGAGACCCAGGCCAAGAAAAGCACCTTGCCTAAAGTCACAGGACCAGTGAGCAGCTGAGCAGCCTCTGAAGCCCAAGCCCCAGGATTCTTTCGACCATGTCTTGTGGTAATTCCTTTTTTTTACGGTATTCTAGTACCCTCCATTAAATTCCATTTATCACAAAGATAATAAGTGTAAACTTATTTACACTTATAAAAGTATAAACTTAAACTTATTTTATACTTATTAAAAAGACTATGAAAATTATTAAAATAGGTACAATAAGTATTTTAGAGTACCTTATGATTAAAAATGAACTCTGCATATATTACCCTCAATCGATTCTCACAAAAACCCTGTTAGGCAGGCAGTGTCAATACAATACGTGGCACACAGCAGGCATTTAATAAATGCCTGTTTCCCTCCATCCCCACCCCCTTTTACGGATGAGGACACTGAGGGTCGGAAAGACTGAGTAACTCTCCTTCCTCTCAAGATCAGACAATCGCCAAGTGGCAGAGACAGGATGTAAAACCAAGCCTCCCAACTCCACATTCAATGTTCTTTCTACAATCTCACAGCTGCCCCAACAAAAAAGCCAATCAGAACTACAAAGCATCAATAATGGAATTACTGTGAACCACTCAGTGCAAATTAGCATTTTTAAAAGTGTGTGTTCTATAAATAACACATAGAATGTGTCCTGGAATAATCTGAAACCTTATCTTTTTTTTTTTTTTTAACAATGAACACAGATTTTTAAAGGATTCTTATATTCAACTAACTTATCAATTATTGTTTTCAGCGCTCCTAAGCAATATTTTTGCTTTCCTGTCATTTTTAGATTTCCAAGAGTATTTGCCAATAGATTGAAATAGGTTTTAATGGCCCATAAAGGTTTTAAGTACCTATTTACAGTTGGTTCTGATGGATGGACTAATTACTAAATACAATAAATGATTGGCATGAATGCTTTCTAAAAATTTATTTAAAAGAAAAAGAAAAAAAACCAGTTTTTGAAAATCTAACTGTATTTGTCCATTTTAGATGTTTAGGAGAGACCTTACTTGAGACCACTTAAAGAAGATCTGGTGGCAGCTAGGTGGCACAGTGGATAGAGTACTGGCCCTGGAGTTAGGAGGACCTGAGTTCAAATCCAGCTTCAAACAGAACACTCACTTAGCTGTGTGACTCTTGGCAAGTCACTTAACCCCAACCGCCTCCCAAAAAAAAAAAAAAAAAAAAGATCTGAAGATGTTTTCATTCTTTCAGCATTCTATAACACCAAATGGTTAAAAGAGAGCTAATTATCACAACCCTGTCCTTTACTCTACCTCTGCAAAAGAATAAAGGAAATGACTATGCTTACCAGCTTTCTCAACCCTACAACCTCATCAGCACTGAGAAGACCTAAAACCACTGCCATAGGTGCTCAATGCCAATGGCTTTCCCTACTCCAACCTTTGCAGAGAGAGGGAAGTGATTGCCGGGGAAGAATCCATGTTGAGCAATCACCAGGAGGAAGATTGACAGAAGTTAGAGAGATGGAAGAGCCCTTGGAGATCATCCACCCAAATCCCACCCTGGATTTCAAGTATCACTAGCCTTCCTCTTTCAGGCCGGGTCCTCATCTTACATTTCTTTTAAAAGGAAAAGAAAAAAATTAACAGTTTTTGAAAATCTAACTAATTTCAATCAGCTAGGATAGTTCAGTAACCAGTAAGAGAAAAAGTCATTAAATAATTGACACTTTATTCTACATCTCAATATTTTTAATAAGGGAGTAATTTAAAGCTGCAATATGAATGAAGAATCGCCATTAGCTACTTATGTCACTTCAGAGCCATGACAGTGGAAACTGCAGCCTTTTCACCTTTGTAGTGATCAAAATTCCCGACAAAGTATAACTGAAACATCCGAATTATTTTTAAGTTTCAGTCAACAGCAGACTGCTGAAATGAAAACTAAATTCAAAACATCAATTCTTCCACGCTACTGAGAATGAACACTAAGTTTTAAACAATATACCACAAATATAAAAGTTAATCTTAATTATTCACTCATAACTAACAAAGTCAGTCTCTAAAAATAGGAATGTGCTTCCTACAAAAATTTTAAAAGCTGTCTACAAGCTTTGTTGCCTACATTTCTAAAGTCCCAATTTCTCTCAATATTCTGCCTCTTAAAAAACTGTACACTGACAGTATTTTGTAGTCATTTGAAAAATCTGATTCAACAAAGATTCTGAATTAAATCAAGACTCACCCCTCCTAATCTGGCTCCAATCTATTTGTTTCAACAGAGCTCCTAGATGACGTTCTATCACGGGCCTCCAAACCTTAACTCAGGTTTGTCCTCAGCTCTTTAAAGAAGCCTTTCCTTATTTTCCTAAATAGCAGAACTCTCCCCGGCACTACTCTCCCCTCACCAAATTACTTCACATGTATCTTGTATATATGTTATATCTAGTTGTATTTATGTGTTGTTCCTTAGGGGCAGGTACTGTTTTATTTATCTTTTAGTTTCACACTGCCTAACATATAACCTGGCTCACAGAAGATAATTTCTACATGTTCACTTAACTTAACTGGAGAATAATTACTTCCCATCTCAAAATTCTTATTCTGGAGTTGAAAGTGACAAGAATGCTGGATCTCCAATGCAGCATCCCAGCAATCTCATTGCTTAGATTCCCAAGCAATCCCTTAGGGACAGCAAATACTGCCACATGGCCCTCAGGGAGGGGAACAGCACCCAGCTCAGACTCCTTAGGTACTCCAGAAAAGTAAACCTGTCCTCCAGACAGGCTGGTTGTTGCACTTCCTGTTTGAGAATGTGACCAGCTGTGTTTTACAACATAAGAGACACATTAAGAGGAAAAAACAGCATAATAACTTAATAGAAAAAAGGGACGGAGTTGTAGAACCCTCAAATAATTACATACTGATGATTTCTTCTTTACAGAAATTTCACTCTTTAATATGCTGGTGTGCTGTTAGTATAAACATGTTAGGAAAAACTGGATGCTATAACTTATCTCACCATTCCGTTCAAGCAAGTGAGGATCAGAATGTTTCTTGCCTATATCTGCAAAAGACCGCACAAGCGGAATCCGGCTCGTGAACCTTTTCTCATTTTGATGATGATGTCTCTTCAAAAGAGCCTCCCTGACATTCTCTCTTATTGAATCATCCAACTGGCCAGAGGCAATCATGTTGTCCAGCACCATATCTATTGCATGAAAAGAAAAGGCAACAGGAATTATCTCTGAACAAATAAATAACAACAACTCTTCAGACATTAACATCATATATCTAGAGCTGGAAAGCCCCTCATTGTACAGATAAGGAAAATGAGACCAAGGGAAGCTAAGTGACTTGCCCAAAGTCACACAGCTAGTAAATGCCAGAGGTGGAATTAGAACCCGGGGCCTCTGCCTCCAGAATCAGTAATCTCTCTTGGCCCCACACCTTAGCTCCAATAAAGTCACCATGAAAATCTAGCATCATCTCACAAAGATCCCTTAAGTTAGAGTTAGAATTGCATTTTCATCAATTACATAATAAATTTCATTTTTACATAAAGCCATTATTTACCCTGTCCAAAAACACATACTAATAGTTGTTTGTTTTTTCCTGGAATAGTTCCGAGTTCTGTTAACCAAAAGAACTAATATTTTGGTCTTCCTAAGACAGGAGAATATTTCATTGTTTCACACAACTTTTAGAATCCCACCCTATCAAAAGACTGCAAAATGAGAAAATTAAGATAAACATATTTCTCCTGATCTTATTAAAATAAAGTCTACAACCTCAAAACAATAAACTGAAGTTTTTCTGAAGTCATATGTAAATAAACTATGGTTGACGAGATTCACCGTAAGTAAAAAGATAATAAAAAGGTTGTGGTTTGAGGTTTTATTTCTTTATAAATGTTTTCTAAAGCTCCAGTTTCAAATGTGGTTTTCATATTATTAATCTGAAGGGAAATTTTATTATCATCATCATCGATTATCAACAATAATTAAATAACAGCTAGCACTTTAAGGTTTGCAAAGCACTTTACAAATACAATCTCACTTGATCAACACAACAGCCCTGGGATGTGTTATTAATATCCACATGTACAGATGAAGAAAATGATGCAGACAGAGGTTACATGATTTGCCCAGTATTACCCAGCTACTAAGTATCTGAATCTGGATTTGAACAGGGCTGGCTTCCTGACTCCAGGCTCAGTGGTCTATCCAATTAGCCATCTAGCGACCTCTGTCACATAAAATAAATAGTATTTTACATACTATTATGTAAATTAAAGGGTTTTGAAAATTCAAAAAATTAAATGAGAATTTGAACCCAGTAATGAAAAGGAAAACAGAATGTTTGATTTGGGATTTTTCCACATTAATTTTTTATATTAAACTCTCAGAATTTAATCTCATGTTTTCTAAAGTTAGTCAAACGAATACACACATATATTATTCAATAAAAAATTATTAATTACATATCATGTGCAAATAATCATACTAGAAGCTGAAGAAGATGCAAAATTTAGATAAACCAGTTCCTACTCTCAAAGAGGTTATAGTCTAGGAGGAGAAAAAGTCACCAATAAAAACAGCTTCAATACTGTTACAGAAATGCCTTGCTGCTCTGAAGGGAAAGGTCCTATTCTAACCTAACACGTCAATCAAAAGGATCAGGTAAAAAGCTTCCTTGAAGAAGTGTCATTTAAGGCCTGGTCTGTCAAATAAGGGTAGCCATCAACACAGGCAAAGCTCCCTAGGCATGCAGGCCTAGGAAACAGCTCTCGCAGCAGCACAGAGAGAGAGTACAGAGCACATTCTTGATGCAACTAACCTGGTGAGTGTGCCAGACAAAAGGAGTCTAAAGGAGGCAGCAGAAGCCACTTAGCTAGCACTTTTAAGCAGAAGAGAAGCAAGACCAGAGCATGCTTCAAACAAAATGTTAGGAAGAATGGACTGGAGAAGGGAGAATGTGTAGGTGGAAATTCTAATAACAATTAATCTAAGCAGAGTGATACTGGAAGCCTATGCCAAGGTCGTATTGCTGGAACTAGGAAGAGATATAGCTAGACACTTATTTACTTTGGGTAAAATGAACTAGATCTAAAATGTATATATTTCCTTTCAAGAGCTTCTGATTCTATTACTCAAAAAATCTCAGTGATTTTCAAAAGATCCCAGTATCTTTTTATAGAAACCATTATCTTCTCCAGATAAGATGAAGACATTAGTCTTACAGCTCACTGCAAATAGGGATGTCTATCTTGGCTAAATAATAATGTAATAGGATGCTACTTCCATTTCTGAAGAGTAAAGAAAAAACGCACATAATAATGTTTATGTTTTTTATACTGTTGTTGTTAATTAGTCTGATATCTACTGTCAGAAGGGCTGTTTCGTACATTTGGGGCCATTACATTCTCACTATCAGTAGTTTAGACTATTAGCTATTAGAGAGGAAAAAAGGACTCTCTTTTTTATATTTTCTTTGTAATGCACATTTGAAAATGAGTGTTCCACTGAAGCTGCCTAAAACAGGGTCATGTGACCCTGGAATACTATAACAACAACAATAATAATAATAATAGCTACCATTTATGTATCACTTAAAGGTTTGCAAAGCACCTAATAATAAGTATTATCTCATTTTATCCTCACACCTCTAGGACACAGGTACTGTTATTATCCCCATTTTACAGGAGGAAAATGAGGCATTTTGAGGTCAAATGAATCGCTCAGGGTCACACAACTAGTAAAAATACTGCATACTTTTCATGAATTAAATCATGTATACACAACATTCCTTGATGGGATAATAGCAAAAATGAAATGGAGCTTAGTCTCTACATTTCCCATTCAACAGCCTAATTTATACTGGTTATATTCCAGGCCATAGGCAAAGCATACATATGAGACAATAAAGTCATGATTTTTTTTCAAGTTACCTGATACAAAGAGTTGGGAATTCAAAGCAACTAGTATTTTTAAAGTAAATGGTCAAGTCTATCAATCTGTTGACATAAACAGCAGTGAAAAATTTATTTTTGCTCCAAAGATTCCAACACATTTCTGGCCCTCTAAGATTCAACACTAATTTGAATAATATCCATGGATCATCTGGTCACAAAGGAAAATTTTGCAAAGGCTACATTTCTATCAGATCCATTATGACAACTAATTAAGGGAATTTTCATTTGACTTTATTTTATTTTATTTTATTTTATTTTATTTTTTGCTGAGGCAATTGGGGTTAAGTGACTTGCCCAGAGTCACGCAGCTAGTGAGTGTTATGTGTCTGAGGCTGGATGTGAATTCAGGTACTCCTGACTCCAGAGTCAGTGCTTTATCCACTGCGCCATCTAGCTGCCCTGGCTTTATTTTTTAATAGCTACAAATCTCCTTGCCATAAAATCAAAACCGAATTTACAAATACACACACATATGCTACAAAATTTACTTTTGCATAATATAAATGACACAACTGCTTCCAACATAATTCACCCTGAACAACCACACATGCTCTACAACCTGCTATTTCATCCAGAGTGCTTGCTCTCATATCCAGCATAACCGTTCCGTTCAGGATGCAGCTCCTCAGCTCAAACAGACTGTGCAAAGATAAGGTCGCCACGTAAGGCTTGCTCCATCGATCCCCACCATCTTCAACATCCTCTTCAAATTTCAGCCACCTGAAAAGCAGCATGTACACTATGATCCTGAGCACTGTCTTTTACAAAGAAAGATGATAAATACCAAAGTAAGCTATGCCTTTCCACTCAGAAATAATAAACTAAAGCAGGCTTCACATCCATCCATTATTTCTCTATGCTAGCAAAATATCTATCATATAAATAGGGTCTACATGAACATTCAAGCATGCAGGTCAATATATGTCCAAAATAAAGAAGTGAGCCCACAAAATGATCATGGTAGTTCATATTTATATAGTATTTTTAAGATTTACAAAGTACTTTCCATATAGTAGCTCAGTAATTAGTATGCTTTACTTTCTCAGATCCATTTTGCTAAAACATAAAATTTTAGGAATGCAACAATGAATTCTATAAATCTGGTCATGTTCTATTGGTGTATGGCACCGTAGAGGCATAAAAACAAAGATCAGAAAGAATCTAAAGTTAAAAAAAAATTACCAGAGATAAGAGTTAATGCCCTGCTCAGGAGCCAAAAGGAGAATGACAAGAGAACTGTTTGAGTAGAATTACCTAGCAGTTTCCTTCCACTCATATTCTTCACCATCCCTATAACAAAGTTCATCCATTTCAGTGAAGAGATCATGGGGAATGTGCTCTTCATCATCATCTTCAGTACCAAGAATAAACTGGACACGCTGGGATGGTGTGTCTGAACATAAGACAATTTGAAAACAGGAAAGAAAAACTTTCTCCAAATTGTTGAAAGATATATTACTTCAAAAGTTCTTAGTTTTTTTAATAGATACATTCCATTTTTAACTTATTTTAAATTACTGTACATTTTTAAGCAAATGTTAGAGAAGAATCCTAGAGAGAAAAAAATAACATTAAATGAAAAAAAAACCAAATCATAAGGCATATTCCTATTTTTAAAAAGAGAAACTTTAAGGGTTTTTTTTTTCCTTCAGTAAGTCAAAGGGAGCTTAAAAGCTACTACCTGTAAAAGAAATGAGAGGATCTGAAGGGGCTGGCTCAGTTTTTTCTCTTGGTCTCTGCTCACAAAGGGGGCCTGACTTACAGAGACACACCACAGATAGTTTCTGGAACCCTGCTGTTTATTCTGAACCCTCCACCCAGCAGTCACGCACCACCACTATAAAGAAGTTAGAAGTAATGGTGCTAAAAGTCAAGGTAAGTCAAAGAAAATGGCTTCTCCCCCAAAGGAGACAGAAGACAGTGAGGATGAGACCATGTCAGTTAGAAAAAAGGCTGTGGTTCTTCAGAAGACAAGCAAGATGGCTGTGGCTGCACCAGCAAAGAAGGTTCCACCAGCCAAAAAAGCTACTGTTGCTACCACACCTGCCAAGAAAGCAGTCATGACTCCCAGCAAGAAGCCAGTTTGCCCTGCGAAGAAAACGGTTTCCCCAGCCAAAGCTGTCATCACACCAAACAAGAAGAGGGCCACTCCTGCCTCCTTGGCTGCAAGAAGTAGCACCCTTGGGAATAAATGAGTAAAATGCCAAGAACAGGCCAAGAAATCTAACAATGGCAACAGAGATAAGGATGGTGAAGTACCTGAGCCACCCAAAGGGTTCAAAAATGAAAGCAAATATGGGCAAACAAGACTCTGAGGACAGTGAGATGGAAAAAGAGAAGGAAGATACCTCTAAAGAGAAAGCTATTGATAACAACTTGCCAAAGGAGAGAATGCTCCTGCAAAACTAAGCTATCCAAGTACCACAATGAGAAGGAGTAAAGAGGCAGTGCCTGTCGAAGAAACACTTGGAAAGGGGAAAAAGACAACAGGCCAACAGAAAGCCACCAAAGCCAAGAAAAAGAAATTGGAAGTGATAAATTTGAACTTCAAAAAAACTGCTTCTGAACTAAAAACTGGTATCACTGACTTTTCAAAAACAATCTTGCAATTGTGGAGCTACTACTAGAAAGTTGAGTTATATGGAATTTGAATCTGCTAAATACATGAGAAAAACTCTTGAACTCAAGGGCTCAAATGTCGCTCACTCTGAAATGAAACTGGAAAGAGCAAAGAAAAACAAGTCAAATACAGTTGTACAGACACTCTTCGTGAAGAACCTGCCTTATCCAGTGACTCAGGAGGAATGTGAGGGTTTGAAGATGCTACTGAGAGTAGATTGGTCTGCATCCAGGATGGGATCCCTAGAGGAACTGCCTAAATCGAATTTAAATCAGGCTGAAGTGGACAAGGCCTTACGAGAGAGAGAGAGAGAGACTGATGGTCAGGCTCTTATTCTGAATCACAAAAGAAGGAAGAAAAGTTATGGGCAAGAGAATTCTAAAGGTGAAAAAAATAATTCCTGAAGTAAGAGTGACAAGTCAGCAAAGTCAAAGACTCAAAGATCCTTGTACTGAAAAACCTAGCCTAGGATGTCCACAGTCTGAGAAGACATGCCTCTCCCAGTGCCTCAGACAACTACAGAAGACCTGAAGGGTCTGCATGCCTCAGACGCTCCTCCACTCAAGAAGTAAAAGCAGCTTTGGATTTTAACAACATGGAAACAGAGGATAGAGCAACTGGGATACAGGTAGAGGAATATAGATCAACTAATTCGTAGCCATCCATACCAAACTTTGTCAAAGGCCTGTGCAAAGATACCACAGAACAAGCACTGTAACGTTATTTTATAGTCTACTGGTACAAGGAACAGAGAAGCGAGGTCACCTAAAGGGCTTGGCTATGGAAGAAGATACTAAAAGCTGGCAAAGAAGTCATGGCAAATAGGGAGATTGGTGGAAAATCGGACAGGTGCTTTGCAGACCAGATGGAGAGATTCGTGGAAAATCAGACAGGTGCTTTGGAGCCCATGATGGTAGTAGTCAAGGAGAATTTCATGGCAAAGGAAGCAGCCAAGGAGGGAGGAAAAGAAGCCTCAGGAGCCTTGGTGGCCAAGGCTAAGGAAACTTTGAACACTGGAGTAATCTTCTGAAGAGGTTTCCAAGGGGGCAGAGAAGAAAGAGACCACAAGTCAAAGTGAAGGAAAATTAAGTCTGAATAGTTTCCCCATCCATTTTCTTTTCCCCAGATATTGCAATGGATTCTGGAGGTTTTATCTAATTCTCCCTAATTGTTTACAGTGTCTTCTCATGTCACTCCAAGACAAACATAGTTCATAGGTCATTCTTTGATATTTTCTGTCTCTTAACAACATCAAATAAAAACATCAAGCACCATTAAGAATTGTACCAGCCTCTGTCTAATATTTCTACTCAAACCTATTCGAGGAAACCCTTCCTCCTTCCACTTGTCCCTAATAAATTCATCCAGTCTATATCTCAATAACCAAGGCATAAATTCCTTCATTCTCCTATTCCAGCCCCTACCTCCACCTCTATCTATCTTAAAACTAACTCTCCTCAAGTGTTTTCCCACCCTTCTTACCATAAGAAGGAGACTCACGGCCATCTTCTTTATCTGATTCTTTGTCTTTTCTTCTTCGATGATGATGCTTGTGACCACGATGTCTATGACGTCGGCGACTTTCTTTACTAAATGGGACATGTACACCAATATACACAGCTCGATGGCCTGTTTTTAAAAAGCACCAAAAACATATTAAAGGTTTCATAACAGTAAATACATACAATGATATAATAGAATTTGTTCCAAATGCAAACTATTCAGTTGCCACAAAATATAAACCAAAGTGCAAAAAAGCCTGCTTCATTTACTCCCTTTTTCTCTGTGGTTCAAATACAATGATATTCTTAATGAAAACAAAGTCACTAAAAAAGAAAGCAAAGGGCTACAACTATTAATTTGCAAGCTTAATAAAAAAAAGACAGAGCGGCTGGCTCACTCAGTCTGCCCCTATCTTCTCTGCCAAAGAGAAAAATCTTTAGACCCATCAACACTCATGGATCAAGTGCCTACTATGTGTCAGACGTGCTGGTAAGCCCTGAAGATACAAAGACAAAAGTGAAAGTCACTGCCTTCTAGGAATCTTCATTCAAAGAGTGAAGACAATGCGCACATATTGAAGTATAAAGGAAACAAAATAAGAACAAGGTGATATGGTTTGGGCAGACACTAGCAGCTTAGGAAATCAGCAAAGGTCTCATGTGGAAGGTGACACTTGACTTAAGTAATGAAGGAAACGAGGGATTCCAAGAGAGGGAAAAGAGGCGAGAGGGACCTCCAGGACAAGGTGTAGAGACGGAAGAAGAAACATCACTCATGAGGCCAGCAAGAAGGCCAGTTTGGCTAGATGCAAAGGGTGAAAAAGGGAGTAATGTGTAACAGGACTGACAAGGCAGGCTGGTCCAGATTATAAAGGGCTTTACGAGCCAAACACGAGTTTGTATTTGAACCTCAAGGCAATGGGGAGTAACTGGAGTTTATTGGTAGCACCTGTGCTTTTGGACAATTCTATGGAAGACAGATTGAAGGAAAGGACTTGAGGCGAGTCAGACAAATAAGGAAGCTATTTTGAAACGACAAATTAGAGATGATAAGGGCCTGAACTATTTAAACAGACAGAAGGGGATGGACACAAGAGTAGCTGTGGAAGCAGAAGTGACAAATTTTAGCATCTGACTGAACTGCTGAGGAAGCAGGAGGAGTCCAGGATAACGTCGAGGTTGTGAACCTAGATGCCTGGAAGGATGGTGGTGCCCTCTTCAGAAAGAGAAAAGTTTGGAAGAAGGTGGAGTTTGGTTTGGGACACGTTTATTTTGAGATGCCCATCCAGATACATAGATATGAAAGTTATCTACGTAGAAAGAAGTAAACCCACGGGAATCAAAGAGTTCACCAAGGGAGAAAACACAGGGAGAGAAGAAAAAAGGGCCCAGGAAAGAGCCTTGCGGTAGTCCCATAGTCAGGGGTATTATGTGAAGAACCAGGAAAAGAGAATGACAAAGAGCAATTATGCAGGTAGGAGGACCAAGAAGCAATGCATGAAAACCCAAAGAGAAGAGAGTATCCAGGAAAACACCTACTAAGTTCCAGGGACTGTGCTGGATGCTGAGGATTCAAATACAAAAAAGGAAACAATCCCTGTGACTCAGATGTCTTCCCCTATGCTGCTTTCTTTGTTTCTATCTCTGATGAAGTTTTCCTGCCAACGCAAACCCTTCAACATACATGTACCTTTGATGCCGTCTTCTCCCATCTTTTCCAACAGAATGTCCATACTCTTCAATCTTTCCCTATTCAGTGGCTTCTTCTCCCCTGACTATAAATATGCCCATCCTTTAAAAAAAATCTTAAGTTAACTGAACGTTTCCTTTCTCCCACTATCATCAAAACGAAAAGCATGACATCGCTGCTAAAGTGGTAATGAATCACTGGTGCTGACAAGCATTAATACAGTTTCCCTTGTTTTTCAATTTTATAAAAAATTATCATTTCAGAAAATTAAATTCTTTCACAGACAAAATGTACTAAGCTGGTCTGAGAAGAGTGGCATGATCAGACAAGTGCATTAAGAAAACGAAGTGAAAATCAATAGTATACAGCATTGTTGGTTATTTTATTTACGCTAATTTTGCAGCAAGATTCATTTTGTGTAAATTTACCATAGTGCTCCAAAGAATTCCTCAATTCAATGCAATGTTCTTTAGGTTGATCTTATAATCAGACGAACTCCAATGCTCAAAGTCATGATTGATAGAAATCATTTCCTTGAATTTTTGTGAATCACATCCACTTTAATAAACATGATTTACTTAGCATATGCTATGTTTGCACCATTAGGGAACTACTGATGAATTCAGATAGAGTGCTTGCCCTTAAACTCACAATCCAGAAGGAGAGAGTAGTGGGGAGTACAGGAGAAAACAAGGCCATGCCAGACACAAGGGTCAGGGTGAAAGGCAGAGAGGACAACGAATAGTTCACTTTGGTTAGAATAAGGCCAGAAAGGTAAACTACAGCAAGACAGAAACGAACCTTTAAGCAGACAGGGGATTTATGTAAGAGGCAACCTCATCTAGTAGATAAGTCATATGCTAGGACTCAGGAAGACCAGGCTTTGAATCCTGTCTCTGAGGCTTACAAGCTATGCAGACTCACCTTCCCTATCTCAGTTTCATCATCTGTAAAACTGTTACATCATCTGTTATATTATGTAGATAAATTGTTATGTATGTAAACGTATAGTAAGCATTTAATTATCTGTTCTATTATGTACATAAAAAGCTTTGCAAACCTTAAAGCCCCCTCTAACCATGGCCTGATCCTCCTGTTACCACCCCCATCGCTTTTATCTAGTAAGCAAGGGTGAAATACTTTAGATTTCCAAGTAAGAGACAAGCATGATCAGACAGAGGCCTTAGGAAAATTAAGTGAAATGTCAATGGGAAGGGAAAATTAGACGTGGGAGACTGGAACCAAGAAGACCAGTTAATAGACCATTACAATACTCCAGAAAGGTGGTGAGGGGAGCCTGAACTGGAATGGCTTCAGCAAAAAAACAAAGGCAAATCAAAGTAGAATTTCAAGAGATGTTTCTAGAGTACAATTAGCAGGATTTGACTACTGATTAAATTGTTAGGATAAGGACAAAGAAAGCCAAATATAACATTAAGATTATATGACCAGGAGAAAAAGAAGTTTGGGAGGGAAAATGACAAACTCGGTTTTGATAAAATTGAGTTGGAGGTACAGGAAGGAGTGGTAGGCAGAGAGAGTAAATGGATATCAAGAAATGTAAAACTGGTACTTGAGACACTGATTTGGAATCATACACACAGAAGTGATATGTCAATAAGGATTCATGAAAATCACCTAAGACAGGAGCGTCAAGAGAACAAATTGCCAAGGACAGATAGAGCCCTCAGGATGAGCACCTTTAAGGAGTAGGAAGAAAAAGAGAAATCAGTAAAGGTGACAGAGAAGCAGCTGTCAGGAAGATATGTTTTTATCCAAGTCATCAAAAAATATAGAACAAAGGGGAAGTACAGATTTCTAAGTTACTCCAAGCTTTTAATGACCTAATATTCTCTTACTTTTTTTAAAAGCCCATCTTTTTTTCTTCTTATTTAACTTTAAGTTACAAATTGTCTTCCTCTCTCTCCACCCCACACTAAAGGTGAAGGCCACCATGTGACACAAATCATATGTTAATATGTATATGTGTATATATATACGTGTGTGCACACATATGTATATATGTATTTGTTATGCATACTTCTATTTATCAGTTCTTTCTCTGGAGGTGGATAATACCTTCCTTCATAGGTCCTCTATAGTTGATTTGAGTATTTATAATATTCAGAATAATTCAGTAGTTCTGTTGTTTTTCGAACAATATTGCTGTTACTATATACAACATTCCCTTGGTTCTGCTCATTTTACTTTTCATTATTTTGTGCAAGTCTTTTCCATATTTTTCTAAAACCAACCTGCTCATAATTTATCACAGCACAGTAGTATTACATCACAATCAAATACCACAACTTGTATAGTCATTCTCTAGTTGATGGGCATCCCCTCAATTTCCAGTTCTTTGCCATCACAAAAAGCTGCTATAAATATTTTAGAACATAAGTTCTTTTCCTTTTTCTTTAATCATCTTGGGAAACAGATCTAATAGTGATTGCTGGGTCAAACAGTATAATTAGTTTTTTTAACTCTTTGGGCATAATTCCAGATTGCTCTCCAAAATGGCTGGATCAGTTCCACCAACGGTATATTAGTGTCCCAATTTTTCCACATTTTCCTGATATTCCACATCTCCAACATTTGTCATTTCATTTCTATCATTTTAGCCAATCTGATAGGTATGAGATGATATCTCAAAGTTGTTACAGCCAGCCCCAGCAGGAAAACTGCAAGAAGACAGGGTGCCTTGCTGAGCCCAACAGAAAATTTGAATTTGGAACTTGGTAAGATGATGCTATAAAGAACTGGGCGAAGTTGTGAACATAAATCCCCTCTCCTCCCCAGTAACTTAGACTACATGGGGAATTCTTCCCTCCCCACCCCCCTGTTACTGGGAGAAATGTTTGCATATTTGTTCTTGCTAAAGCTTTGGAATAAATATTCCTTTGTGGAAAAAAAAAAAGCTAACTGACTGTTGAGTGGTTAAATGAAAAGGGGCCCCTAAAACTGAGAGAAACGCCATTGGTGGAAGGCTGAAGCCAGGGGGAGAGAGCCTAAACACCCTCCCAGCCCTCTTCAGAATAGCAGAAAACCCTGGGAGAGGGATGAAATGGTACATACTGGGAGGCCTGGCACAGGAGGCCAGAGTAGACCCTGTTCTCTTTGTATATATCTATATTATTTACCCCAATAAAATGTAAGCTATTTAAGGGCAAAAATGGTTTCATTTTTGTCATTTTATTCCCAGTGCCTTGCACATAATTGGTACCTAATAAATACTTGCAGAATAATTGAACTGGGTCCAGAATAAGAAATTTCCTTCTTTGCCTCCTCTGACTTTTGAAGCATGAAATTATCATTAAGTCAAGAAATGATTAACTGCTCTGCTCTGGGCAGAAAGACTGCATTAGCAAACCGCCAGGTAACTGAAGGCCCTGTCATTACCGACATTGTTCCTCTGAAGCTCGCCTTCCATTTCCTCTTCCTGTCCAGGCAGTCAACAGTTTACTCCAATGGCAACATGCTTTTTGTTCTGCCACAACTTTTATGTCTCTAAGAGGTCTTGCAGTCGCAGTTTTCAACTTTTTTGGTCTCAAGACCCCTTTACACTCTTAAAAATTACTGACAATTCCCCAGAGAGCTTTGGCTTATGTGTGTCATAGCTATCAATATTTACAGTATTAGAAATCAAAACATCCTCATATGATCATGAAAATGATTTTTATTTTGAAGACTCCCTTAGAGGGTCTTGGGGACCCCAATAAGTGCTCATTCACACTCTCAACTGCTCTACCAAACCTCTCCTCCATCTTGTTCCTCAATTTCTTCACAAGTGCTTTTCTGAATTTAAACGCTACCTATGTCCCTCCCTCCTCTTTTTTATACCTAGTATTTTAATAAGGCCTGGACTGCCAAGGCCATATTTCACATCCCACCAAAGCTCAGGGAAATCTAGGGGTCACATTCACCTCTGTGGCTTGGTTTCTCTCATTCACCCAAACTTACTCCCGATACTTTGTAAACTTGCTGTTCGGCACAGACACTTTACTTCTGGCTCATTGCTTCAATTCTGTCTCAGAATCCGGCTCTTCTCCTCTCCCTGTTGCAGTATCTAGCTTAGAGGATCTATGTCAGCAGCTTTCTCCCTCCCACTTCCCATTAGGTTTAAAGTCCTCCTGATAGATCTGAGGCGACATCAGGCAAATGCATCGCCATTCCTTGTTAGGCACGGACCATCACTCTCTTTTTAAATCAAATGCCATCCTCTAGCTCTTTTCTTTCCAGATCTGCCATCTAATGCCCATCACCTCCACCATTAGCAATATTAAAACACCATCTGATTATCTAATGGCTTCATTTTCTAGCCCAAAACTTGTAACAACACTCTCTGGGCACCTTCTGGCAGGGCTTTGGTGTTTCAACATATGTTCTAATGGTTTCAATATTTATAAATCTAAAGCACTATGATTAAAGGAAACCATGTGAGTTTATCATCAACAAAAATTGAAGAACAGAAAGCCAACTACTGAAAATTCATCATTTTTCCCTGACTTCTTTTCTTTGTTTTTCAACCCAAGAGAAATTATTATTAATAACCAATGACTTAGGGAGATCTAGAGTTTCCTGTTTTTCTAAAGTCCTGATTTCAAAAGCTCATTCTCTTAAAGGATGCTGCTGATAATGAGAATGGATTAACTTTCTTAACAATCTTGTTCAGACCCCACCCAGGTGGGGAAGCCATTGTACTCTACTCAGATTTGGGTGAGGATAAATTCTTTGAATAGAATGCCCAAGGGTGGGGGGTGGTCTGAGTACAGGGACAGTCTCTCTTGGACACGATGTCACTCCAAGACCCTCACTGTAAAATAGCCCAGCCTCTCATTCTAATATTCATGTTCTCATTAATTTTTAACCAATCAGAGTTGACTGCCACCCTCAGAACACTTACTCTTCCAAGAGCATATAAACTGCGAGCCACCACCATAAGGGGTCTCTGGGCTAAGAGAGAGATGGCCAAATGACCATCCTTTTATTAATAAACATATTGGTATTATTAATAAAATGATGAGATTACCCAGAATTATGGCTCTAGAACTTTTTTAAAAGATCACAAACCACAGGACCAAAGAGTTTAAAAGTGAAAGAGATCTCAGAGATCATACAGTGCAAACCTTTTATTTCACAGATGAGAAACTGAGCCCAGAGAAGATGACTGACCCCGGGTCTTATCTGCAACAGAGGAGATTCAAACCCAGATTATTTTAATCCACTTGTCATGGCTGTTCTTTTGTTTCTGCTCTTGAGTCTTCCCCCCACTTTACTTCACCTTTCAAATGCAGCACCTTGTTCAATCTGACCAACGAAGACTTGCAAAGCTAAAGAACCACCAAGTACCAAGGGCAGTCAAGAAAGGAGGACCCCAATTTCTGTTCCTGTCCTTCCCTAACAAGTAAATCTCTTTTTAAAAGTGACTACACAAGCCTACACCAGATGGTGAAAGAAAAATCGTTATGGAGTAAAGAAAGTAAAATATATTATCGTTATGAAAACTAAAATTCTAACCAAGAAAATTTAGTTTCTATGACTTTGGGGATTTAGGACCTAAACTAAAACACATACTTCTGGGATGTAGGTAAGGTTCATAACAGTCACTCAAATATGCCAACAATTTTTTGAGCTAATGATGAGGATCATAATAATAATAATAACAAAAGCTGACATGTATGTAGCACCTACTATGTAGCAGGCACTGTGCTAAGCACTTTACAATTATTTCATTTGATCCTCATAACAACCCTGGGATATAGGTGCTATCATTATCCCTGTTTCATAGTGGAGGAAACTAAGGCAGAGACAGGTTCAATGACTTGCCTGGGGTCACAGAGCTACTAAGTATCTAATGCAGGGATTTGAACTCTGGTCTTCCTGACTCCAGGCCCAGCTCTCTATTCACCACACCCACCTAGCTATTCATTTACAATGGGATCCGTGGCAACCCAGCTATCAAAGAAAGAAAGAAAGGTTTTTTTTCTTACAATCCCTCCACTTTCTCACATTTCTGAGAACTAAACAATTAAGAAACCTTCAGCACACAAGGAGCAAAGAGCTGGGTCTTTACAAAGAGAAAGAGTGGTTCATTTCGGGTATTCTTGAGGGGCTCTAGAAAGGACTCCTACAGTTCCTTTGGCATACAAACCCACAAACAACCATATGACAAGGGTGAAAGAGAATCCCAATGTTCAAATCCTGAAGGTCAGAATGCAACTACACCACACAGAAACCTTAAACAAAAGAACTAGCCCAGAAGAAGGCAAAAAAAAAAAAACCCAGCAGCATGAAGAAATAAGTTTCTTTTTGCCAAAGGATATTTTCAGTATTTGCAGCAAGAGGAACAGATAAGACATTATCTAGTGAGTTCCAGTAAAAAAAAAAAAAAAAAGTTTTTTTTAAATCTCAGGAAAGAGGTCATGGTTTCAAATTCTTGCTCTGTCCACTGGTCTTGAGTAAATCACTTAGCCTATCTGGGTCTCAGTTTCTTTATCTGTAAAGTGAAGGCAATGGATTAGATCACTTCTCATGCCCCTCCTAGCTCTGAATCTATGATCCTTACATTACTAAAGAATGTGAAGGATAATATCGCTGTAAGTTGATTGCTTAATAACTTGCCACTTTACATAGTATGTTAATCTGATCCTAGGCCCCTAAATTATAGCTAACTTCTTCATAAACCCCTAGTCCTATTTTAGAACACAAGTGACACTGGCTTCTTGAAGGTCATACGAAGCAGAAAATGCTTTAAGTACAACTTCCATCCATGGCTGTTAATGAGTTCAAACAGGCTCACCGCTGCAGGACCGACCATCTGTCTAAGACATGTTTTTAGCCACAGCAACAAAGGCTACTAAGACCCAGAAGCAGCTGCAGCCTTCGCTGGCAAAGAGCATACCCATGCTAAGGAAACCACGAATCTCTGGAGTGAAGCACAACTATTTCGTTTGGGTGAAATCTATTGATAAGGAACCTAACAGGCAGGCTTCAGTTGCCTGATCTGTACACTGAGCGGGATGGACTGGACAACCTCTGCGGAGCTCCATTCAGGCTCTAAATCTATGATCCTATTTTTATCAGGAGTAAAAAATGGGAAAAGTGCCTGTTCCTGACTTTCTACCTTGATTTTAAGCTCAGCCCCCAAATTTTATAATTCCAAGACTCTAAAACTGCTATATGTCTGTGACATCTGAAAGATATCCTGAAATCTGTTCAGTCATCAATATTTTAAAATGGGATTTTACGCAGAGAAGTGAGAATATTGACGGATAGGCCATATCCTTCAATAAATATACAAATTCAAAAAGTCATACTTATTAGGAGTAATCAGACGCATTACAGACTTAATTATGTTCAAGTACTTACTTTCCAGTTCTTCCTTTTCAAATTTGGTATTGATGGTTGAACTGGTTTTTCCAAGATCCACAACTGCTTCTTCATCAGGACCCTAAAAACAAAAAGCAAATTATAGTCATGCATTGATCTGTCAGGAGTGGGAGGGGGGAGCAGGAGAGGGGAGAAGAAGCGTGGGTGTGTGGGTGGGTAGGTGGAGAGAAGTAGTAAGGAGGGAGTATACCAATGTCCAAGGAACTGGAAATGCTGGGTTACTTAATTAAAATAGGGGATGGGATTCTCTTCATTGCCAATCACATGAAAAATTAGGTACTAAACACATATGGCATGCAATTCTGAAAATCTACAGTAGAAAGCTATTTCTTTCACTAAAAGATTCTCCAAAGCTAAGCCAGTGAAATAAAAACTCCTTGGTCCTACTAAGGTGAAAAACTTCCAGGATAGGCCTCAGTCAACCACAGCTAAGTTCTGTTCCAAGGTGCTCATCATCAGAAGGTTGGTTGCCAGGTATTTTTTTGGAGGGTTCAAGAGTTATATTCACTTACGAAACCACTAAGACACAGAGCAGTTCAACCATGATCTCCATGGACAGAAAAAGGATCTAAACAATCAATACCACACAGCCAAAGGAAAGCATTAGGACAAAATCATTCACTTTTGCAGAGGAGCTAGGTCTTAAGGTAACAGTATGGGAAAGTGGATCTAACCCAATGTTAACTGGGGGGAAAAGGTACAACTCGATTGAGAAGGGAAGAGAACTAGGAAAATACAGTAAAGGGAGACAGCTGGGGTGGATATGTTCATGGGTAATTGGGCCTGCTCACAAGAAAATAGGTTATAAAAGTGGAGGCAGGGGAGCAGAAGTCGCCGATGAGAGGGCATGTACAAGTATTTGTGAGAGATGCCTGATTGTGATATTCCCACCCGTACCAAAAAAGGTGATGTTCCTTATAGCATTTTGACCTCCTCCTTTAATAACCCAAACACCAAAGTGGAGACATTAGCCAAACTAAATGCTTGAACAAGGAGAAAGTGACAAAGGCTTCCAGTACATTGGGTAGGCCCCCACGGCAAATTTACGGAAGGCAGACATGGATGGTGAACAACCTCTACCACTGAAGGGACTTTAAACCAATGAGATCACAGATCCATGTGATGTAATCAAATGTTTGGATCATGAAGTCATGCTGCAATCATAGGCCACAACTACAGGAGTAGACAAGATTTTAAAATGTACCAGTTCTCTTGCTCAAATTCTTTTTTTTTTTCCCAACTTCTATTAAAACAGCCACACACTAAGAAATCACATTACCATGACTCAATATCTAATGCAGTTAATTAACCCAAAAGAAAATACATTTAGAATTTGCAAAAAAAAAAAAAAAAAAAAAACTGCTTTCTGGAAAGAAAGTTTTCTTCTACTATAAAAAAATTAACCAAATCAAAAAGAAGCAATTACATTTCTTAGGCTCTGGTGTTCAGTTTTAAAAGAGGCAGTGTAGCTCCGTGGGGAAAGCACTGGATTTGGAATAAAAGGGTCTAAGCTCAAAGTGAAGTTCTTCTCTAAATTCAAGGCTATACCAAAAGTAAAAGATTTATTAAATAAAAGGGAAGGCTACTCAGCATACTAGGAGTATTCACTTTCTTAGAAAACAAAAAGGTTTCTACCAGAATTTAGTATATTAAAATCAAAGGTGAGGTGGGAGAAGTAGAGGAGCAATGTAAGCTATCAAATTCTTTATTTTTCTTTCTGGTCACTTAAATCTTCTCACCTGTACTAGATTGTGGTTAGAGAGCGAGTACTTAAGTTGTCAAAAATAAGGCTTCGAAGTTAATACTTAAATATTCAAATATCTGTGGGGATCAATATGGAGATATTGGCAAGAAATCTGTGTTTCTATAAGTCTCGTTAAGCTGGCAACCTGAAACAATCACATAGAAGTGAAAGTCACATTTGCAAACAAACACTGGGGGACAAGACAAACCAAACCCTGTCAAAATTAATTAATATATTTCTATGTTTCATTAATAGAGAACAGCAAAGATAAAAGAATAAGGATTTTAGCTTTCTTCATCTGCTTGGTTTTCCCTGTCTGGTGAGTTATGCAGAACTCTTCAGTAATTGTGGATTTTATCTGGGAGGCTATGAAATAGTTAAGGGCTCGCTAAAATCCACATCAGTCAACTGTAAATCGTATCTGCTGAGCCTCCTACTGTGAGGCTCTAAAATGACACTAAATTAATTTTATCTTCCTTTAGTAATTGAGAAAACACTTCCATTTTTTTATGGTACTCTACAGTCATCATTATAACCAATTATAATTGTTACAATCCATACACACAAGTAACTAGTGTAAAGAGAGGGGGTCCAGACCTTAGATCATGCTCGGACTTGTCACTGCTGGTGGATTATACAGAGCGTGCCAGGTGTTTACCCTTCCTGGTTCCCACCCAACAAATACATGGAGGCCTGGTGAGCCTAGTCAGGTCACAAGTCCCCAGGGGGTTGCGGCTGCATGGTAGAAGACAAGTTTTCTGTTTGGCTGAGGAATCAAATGGAGCTCACATATGAAAAGATCCACACCTTCCACCCTAAGCTCTTTAGCACTTTTCTTCCCTGACAATTCTTGGGCAAGGATATCTATAAACTTTCCCAATGCCTCCAACTCAAAGTGCTTTCTCCCCAAATCAATTCCATAAATGTTCTTGAGCACCTCACAAGTCACTGTGCCACAGAAGGGTATTCTTCTAACAGTCCTAGAGCACGTCTGGATCTTTCCTTTGCCACATCCACTTCCCGCAAGTGTCAAGTCCTGGCTAGAGAGTAATTCACCTGAAAAAAAGATCTTCAGGGCTTTAGTTGACTTTCAACTCCAAAGGAGTGAACAGATTGACACTAAAACCAAAAGAATTAGTTAACCTGGCCGTAGGCTAAATTAGGAGAAGCAGCCGGTTCTAGGAGTAGGAAGGTGCTGCTTCCCCCAGCCCCACAGCTGTACCCTGGTCAAACATCTGGAGTATAGCTCTCATACATGTTCTCCCTGGCCCCAGAGGGCAAAACTACAAACAATTTATCAAAGTTAGAAAGAGGCAACTGCAGGCTTTCTGCCTTACCATCGGAGCTACCCACAAAGAGAAGGAGCCCGCAGAAGGGTGCTTCTAGGGGTGATTAGCTGAAGACTGGCTTATTGCTCAGGAATGGGGATTAGATGGATTTTGAGGGACCTTTAGTGGTGTCTTGTACACTAGGAAGTACATTATTACTTGTCACCCTTGGCTTCCACTCCCAAGGTCCAGCAAAAAAGATACTTAAGGGGAAGGAATCTTTTGTCTTTATATCCCCAAAACCTAGGACTATCCTACACAAAGTGTTTAATAAATGGTTGCTTAATTGAACTGTATATACACTTTTTTAACCTTTTTTAAAAATCATTTTATTAAATATTTCCCCATTACATGTAAAATAATTTTAACATTTTTAAAATTTTGAGTTCAAAATTCTCTCCTTCCCTCCTCTTCCTCCTCGAGAAGGCAATTTGATATTGATTATACATGTGAAGCCATTCGAAACATATTTCCATATTAACCATGTTGCACAAGAAAACAACCAAAAGAAAATAAAAATAAAGAGAATTTTTAAAAAGTATGCTTCAATCTGCTTTCAGAGTTCATCACTTTTTCTCTGGAGGTGGGTAACATTTTTCATCATGAGTCCTCTGGAACTATCTTGGATATTTAGCTTTCTCAGAGGAGCTAAGTCTTTCACACTTGGCTTATCCTTAAAATATTGCTGTTACTATGGACAATATTCTAGTTCTGCTCACTTCACTTTGCATCATTTCATGTAAGAATTTTCAGGTTTCTCTGAAAGCATCCTGTTTGTCATTTCTTACAGTACAATAGTATTCCGTTATAATTATATATCACCATATATATTTTATGTGTGTATATATATATATATATATATCTCACAACTTCTTCGTTTATTCTCCAGTTGATGAGCATCCCCTCAATTTCCAATTCTTTACCAGCACAAAAAGAGTTTCTACAAATATTTTTGTACATACAGATCCTTTTCCCTTTTCTTTGATCTCTTTGAGATACCAACCTAGGAAATGGTACTGATGAGTCAAAGGGTGTGCACAATTTTATAACCCTTTGGGCATAGTTCCAAATTTTTCTCCAGGATGGTTAGACTAGTTCACATACAGTGCATTAGTGTCAAAATTTTTCCAAATCTTCAGCATTTGCCATTTTTCTGTCATGATAGTCAATCCAATAGTTATAAGGTGGTATCCCAGAATTGTTTAAATTTGCATTTCGCTAATCAGTAGTGACTGAAAGCATCTTTTTATGTGACTATTGATAGCTTTGATTTCCTCTTCTGAAAACTGCCTGTTCACATCCTCTGACCATTTATCAACTGGGGAATGGCTATTACAATTTTATAAATTTGGCTCGATTCCATATATATCTGAGAACTGAGACCTTTATCAAAGGAACTTGCTGTTGAATTTTTTTTCCTTATTTTCTGTTTTCCTTCTAATTTCGGCTGCATTAATTTTATTTGTACAAAAGCTTTTTAATTTCACATAATCAAAAGCATCTATTTTACGCTCCCTATCTCGTTTGGTTATAAACTATTCCCTTATCCATAGATTTGAAGGTAAAATACTGCATGCTCCCCTAACTGCTTATGGTATCACCCTGTACATCTAAAATCATGTACCCATTTTGACTTTATCTTGGTACGTGTAAGATGTTGTTCTAATTTCTGCCGAATTTCTGTCAAACTGCTTTCCAGCTTTCCCAGCAATTTTTGTCAATTCTGAATTCTTACCCAAAAGCTTGAACCTTTAGGTTAAACATTAGATTACTATGGTAATTTACTATTGTGTATTGTGTACTTAAACAATTCCATTGATCCACAGCCCTATTTCTTAGCTTGTACCACATTGTCTTGATGATTACCGCTTTGTAATGTAGTTTGAAATATGGAACTGCTAAGCCACCTTCCTTCACACTTTTTTTTTCATTGATTCTCTTGATATTTTTGACTTTTTGCTCTTCCAAAAGAATTCTCTATTTTTTCTA